GGCTGGTGTCAGCCAAGATGCCTCACTAATGCTGAATGGATTAAGAAAATGTAGTATTTATACACAGTGGAATTTTACTCAGCCATGAAGAAAAATGAAATCTTGTCATTTACAAGTAAATGGATGGAACTGGAGAACATCATCTTAAGTGAAGTTAGCCAGGCTCAGAAGGCCAAAAATCATATGTTCTCTCTCATATGCAGACTTTAGAACTAAAACAAATGCAGTAATATTATTGGACATGGGTCACATGCTAAGGGGAGAACACATACAGGGGGAATAGGGAAAGGTAGGAAACCCAAAACTTGAAAGTGTTTGATGTGCGCACTGTAGAGGAGAAAGTATAGTAACCTTAAAATGACAGAGGTCACTATAGGAAGGTGACCAGGAAGTAGTGAAGAGGTCTGGTAGAGATGAATCAATTCTGGTTGTAATACACATGTGCATGTAAGCAATCCTAGGAATCTCTCTGTATAGCTATCCTTATCTCAAAGTAGCAAAAACACTATGTCTTTCTTATTATTGCTTATGTTTTCTTTTCAACAAAATTGGAGAAGAGGACAGAACAGGTTCTGCCTGGAAGCAAGAGGGGTGGGAGGAGAGGGAGGGAGCAGGAGGCAGCGGGGAGAAATGGCACAAACAATGTATGCACATATGAATAAGTGAATAAATAAACAAACAAAAAAAGGGCTGGCATAGGTCTCTTGGAGTGGCTCAAGTGGTAGAGCGCCTGCCTTGCAAGCAAGCATGAGGCCTTGAGTTCAAAAAGGCTCAAGCAGTAAGAGTGTCTGCCTTGCAAGCATGATGCCCTGAGTTCAAACCCCAGTGCCACCAAAAAGAAAAAAGAATAGTCATATGGTGTTTATGTTTTTATTTTGTTTTTTCAGTGCTGGGAATTGTATTCAGGACCCTGTGCATGCTAGGCCAGCACTGTACCATTAAGCTACATCAACCCAGCTCATTGGTGTTTGGTTTCTTGATGCCTTGTTTGATGTTAGTTTCTTACTGCATGAAGATTTAAAAGATATAAATTGAAAAAGAGAAAAAAAAAGAAAAAGATACAAAAATTTTGTGCAACATAACCCCTAATTATAATCTATGTGCTTCATTTAATACAATAGCAGTCAAGGATCATTTTGACATCATTCAGCTCTCACCATGTCCAATGAACAAGCATTGGCACACTGAATCCTCACAACTAATCTGAGAACTATTAGTTCCATTTATCAGATGAAGAAATCAAATAGCAAACAGGTAACAACATCTGTCCAAGGTCACATAGCTAGGAAGTGGTGGTGCTGAATTTGAAACCTGATCCATCAGACCCCAGAGTCCAACCTCTTCCTAACTGAACAGCACTGCCTCAGGAAAACAGCTTCATTTCCATGGTTGAGCAGCCACTCTCCCTTGAGAGAAAGGCCCAAAATTGGCTATATTGAGCTGGATCCCTTTGAAGCTTTTCTCTTTCCCCTGGGAAATGGGCAGAAACAGGTTCATCACCTGATACCCTGTCATTGCATCCTTAGCAATTATCAGAGGGCTGATTCAAAACACTGAAGGTAACCTAGCCCAGGTGATGTACTCATCCTTCCCATCACCTACAACCGAAGATACACTGACCCTTGTCTTCATACCTTTCCCTGCTTGCACTTGCCCCATATATGCCCTAATTTCTTCCCAGTGCTGTGCTAAGGGGTCACAATATGGCAGAAGAGCTGACCAGGATGCTTGGAAAGGGTAGGGAGACCTGGCTTTATTACTGACTTCTTATGTGACATTGGGATGGCCTCCCTTCACTCTGTCTTCCATGTCCCTCTTAGCACAGTGAGAGACTTAGGCTCAATATTGGAGCAACTCTCTAAACTTAAGTGTCTCTGAGTTTGTTTACAATAGAAACTAGGCTGAAAATGAAGGAAAAGATGTTTTGCTATAGCACTCTCAAGGTTTGTTGTTTTGTGTAGTACTGGGGTTTGAACTCAGGGCCTTGCACTTACTAAGGCAGGTACTCTACCACTTTAACCACACTGCCAGCCCCTTCCCATGCCATCTCTTTCCTTTAATTGGTTTGCTTATCTGTAATTGTACCACATTATCTTACTGTCACTTTATAGTAAGTCTCAGTATTTGGTAGGGTGAGTGTCTTCCTGTCTTGCTATTTAAAATACTGTTGACCTTTTGTCATTCCTTACACATATTAGAATCAGCTTATCCAGTTCTACAAACCTTTTGGGGTTTTTATTGAAAGTGTGCTGTAATTACAGATTTGGTAAGACTTGACAGCTTTATGACACTGAGGTTTCCTGCCCTCAGCAGCTCCCTTGAAAGCAATGGCGTGTGAACAGAACTCTGTAGTCAGACCTGAGATGTAATCCCCACTGTGTAATTAGGGGTCACAGAAATCACCACATGACTCTGAACCTCAGTTTCCTGTACTGAAAAACAGGGATGCTAGGAGTATCTGCTTCACTACTGGCCCTAAGACATGGGAAACCCTTAACACAGTGCTTGGCAACATGTAGGTACTCAATGAGTAGAACCCACTCGGTACCAATTATCTACCTCTTCCTGCTCCTCTCACCAGACTTGATTGTATCTGCTTCTGGAATGCTTTGCCAAGGATACTCCTGTCTCCAGTCAAAGGGTGGTAATGGGACACAGTTTTCTGTTGCCTCCCAATATCTTCCCCCTTACTGTCCTAGTTGCTCAGTACCCAGGGCAACACTCTTGACTTAGGGTCCGTGAGGCATTGGGGCTGGTGGTTGCTCCTTGTTAGGATCGGGCAAGGGAAGGCAGCAGGGATCTGAAAGCCCATTATTAGCCTGGTTCAGAGGGAAGGATGGATAGGAAGAAGAGAGATGAGATGGGAGGTGGAGCAGATAGACAAAGAGCATTGTGGAAGAGATGCATGGGAGAGGCCAGAGCCCTGTGGAGATCAACATGCCTCCAAACTTACTGGTGCCCCAAACCTTTCAATTGGCAGGTTGAATGGGTATGGCTGAGCTTGCTTTGTGAGAGCTTCCTAAAGCCACTGCCTGGTCTTTTACCACTTTCTTTCCTTCTCTGGCCAGTCAGAAGAGAGGCTGTGAGAGGAGGAGGATGGATGGAAAGGGGCATATACTCACCAGGCAGGTTGAGGGCTCCATTCCCAAAAAGGAGAAGCAGGAATAGAGACCAGCAGCTGCCCATGTCTGTGCTGGTGGATGGTCCCAAGGGTGCTGGCTCAAACAGCCAGATAACAGCTCCAAGATAGTGAGGCACTGCTAGCCCCAGTGCTGCTCTCCTCTGCCTGCTGAGTGTACCACCCATCCTTAGTTGTCCAGATTCCCCATAGGCCCATGGGGCTTTTCAGGGGTGGAACCAATGCTGATGGGAGAGAGATGAGGTAGAGTTTCCCATCAGCTGCAATCACTGGATCTCTGGGGACTGCCATTCCAACTGGAGAATATCCCCAAGGCCCCTAATTGTTAGCCTTTTGCTGAACAGCAGGGCAGAACTCTGAGCCATCCAATCTTCTTTGAAGCAACACCAGGGCACCTGTGTCTCAGGGACATGGCTGATCCCATCAGTCTCCTGCCTCCTGATTCCTGGGCTAAGAGCTGACCTTTTGAGAATTCAGGTCTCCTGTCCTCCAAAACACGACTGCCACAGCTTTCTCAAGCTAGTTCATCAAGTTGCTGAGGCTCTCAAAGATCTTTGGTGTAGAGGTCACAGATAGGCTTCACAGGTTCTAAGTTCCCCACCAGACTTCATGTGACTCACACAATCCCCCTGTTTCCTTCCATAAAACTTCAGTGCTTCTCTAGAAAGTCTGTTGGGACCCACACCTTAACCAGTCACTTTCCATTGCCTGAGGATGGAGCTGCCTGTACTTGTATTATTTGGTCAGTGGTGACCCCATCAGACGAGGACTCCCCAGAATGAAGAGCATCATCTTTGCAACAGGGAGAGAGAGGATGGATCTGTCTCCATCAGACATCAGGGACTCCCAGCCATGAATTTTCCATCCAAAATGTAGGACTCTAAAGGCAGGGATTGGGGGTAGGGGAGGAGGCAGGGGCCAGGGAGGAGAAATGGCCTAAACAATGTGTACACATATGAATACATGAACAATAAAAAACAAGTAAAAAGTAAATTAAAAAGGCAAGGATTATATCTCAACCATTAAGTCAGAAATTTTCAGAGGTATGGCTTCTCTTCCCTCATTGGAAGCCCTTGAGGACAGGCTATAATTCTATTAGATAAATAGACTTTTTTTTTTTTTTTGAGAAGGGTCTCATGTAACCCAGGCTGGCCTATAACTCTTGATCCTCCTGCCTCAGCCTTCCAAGTGCCAAGTGCTGGGAATATAGGTTTGCCATTACCACACCCAGCACAAATAGGCTTTTTAAATTTTATTTTTTTGGTGGGATTGGGGTTTGAACTCAGAGCTTCGTGCTTGCAAATCAGGCATTTTATTGCTTGAACCAAACCTCCAGCCCACAAACAGGCTTTTAAGGGGCAAGCTCTATCCTCTCCATCAGATGTGGGGCAAGCACCCCAAAGAGTTGGAGATCTACCAGTCACACACACTGGTTCCAACACAAAACTTTATTGTCAGTACACAGATGCCTGGCCTTGCCAGCCTTGCTGGCCTGGCCTTTCTCTTCTTAGTACTTGCACCAACTCAGGCCTCATCTAGTCCTGGGCTGGAGCAGGAGATCAGGGATACCCATTCTTAGGCCAAAGCCTATTTACCTTGGCCAGCAGCCCCCTTCTGTGTTCATCCTTGCTGCTAGGGCTCCCACTTTCATCCAGCATCCTTCTCCATCCTGGCTCCTCTGGACTCAGGGCTCATAGGCATAAGCCCTGCAGATGCTGCCATCATCACAGTCCCTGGCTTCTGCCCAGGTGTAAGGGAGAGGATGGGTCCTGGCCAGGCTGTGCAAAGCCATGTTAGAGATTCAGGAAGATACAGCAGCTGGCTGTGTGTGTGCAGGCCCCTTGGCTCCTTTCCTGCCTTCTCAAAAGTTTAACTTGTTTTTGCTAAGCTTCAAAGTTGTGTTAGATTCATAAACCTGCAAACCAAGAGGTCTTTTTGTCATCCCCCCTGCCACAATATATCATTCTCCCTTCTTCCCCTCTTCCAGCCTCAACAATGCCCCATCTAGACCTTCCAGGGAAGCCTTTCTTAGGTCTAACTGTAGCCTGCCTAGAGCCACTTCTGATCTGGAGAGCCCAGGCATTTACCAGGCTCCAGGTCATTCTGTCTTAGCTCTAGGGAGTGGAAGGGAGAAAAAGAAACTGCTTTTTCTATCCAGAAGCTTCCTCTCTCAGGAAGAGGCTGCTCTTATACACCCTAAATGGAATCCAGAAGTCCTTTGCCCATAGTGGGCAAATCATCTGCTTCTGAGGAGGAGCTGAACTGGCTGAGGCCACACTAAGAATGGTGGGTTTGTAGGCTTAGGGAACAAACTGGCTCCTGGGGTGAAGCTGATGGGAGAGGGAGGGGCCTCTGGGAGAAAGAAAGAGTGGGACTCAACCCAATTTGGGGGGTGACAGCTGCAGTGGGTGGAACTTTAGGGTGTTAACCCATTTTGGAAAAGACAGAAACCTTGACAAATGGGCCTGCAGCTGGGCTGGGCTCCGCAGTAGGGTGAGTACTGATTGGGTAGGAGAGGAAAACCACACCTTTTCCCTGTTAATAAGCGCAGACAGCAAGTCTTGCTGAGTAGCTATTCCGTGAGTGTCCAAGGAGGACGTGCTCCGTGATGACAGGCTCTTTGACAAGTGCTTACGTAAGAGCTCCTGCTCCTGCTCCTGGTTATAGAGGATGGAGCGCACCTCCTCCACAATCCTGGGGCAGAGTGGGCAGGGCGTTTGGGGGAGGAAGACACCCCTTCCATCTCTTCCCTGGTGTGGTGAGCATCCCTCATTCAGCCTTCCCTCCCTCACAGCTACCTCCCTCCCCAGCCTGCAGCCCTAATAGAGATTCAGGCCAAGCCATGCCCTCCTGTGAGATTGGAGAAACCTGAAGGTCAAGATTCCAGCTCTGCTCCAACAAGCTGGGGAGCCCTGGGTAAATCACTTAGCCTCTCTAGGCTCCAGGGTCCACATTAGAAAATGATGAGAGGCTGGTGGAGTGGCTCAAGCAGTAGAGTGCCTGCCTAGCAAGTGGGAGGCCCTGAGTTCAAGCCCCAATACCACAAAACAAAACAGAAAGAGAGAAAGAAAAGAAAATGGTGAGGATGTGAGGCCAGAAGAATCTGAGGCATCACCCAGCTTTGACTCAAGGGACTCAGGGGTAGCCCCAGTAACATCCCCCCCTACATGTTGAGTTCCTCCCGGGTCTCCTTGTACTGCATCAGGTTCTCCTGAATTGCTTCAAGCACCAAGCAAAAGTTGTCACATGTTTTTTCTGAGAGGTTCGACAGAGCACCCCCCACAAGTGGCTCCTGGGGAACAGTAGATGTCTCCAAGCGGGCGATTGCACAGTGCACGAGTGGCAGTTCGTCTGTCCAGTTCTCCTCCTCTACACTTTTCTGCGGGGGGGGTGGGGGGCAGGATGGAGAAGGAGAGCTCAGGGAAGCAGCATCTCCCCTGTCCATGTGGCTTCAGGGTTTCTTAGGACATCCCTCCCACACTTTGAATGGTGGGGACAGAACCCAGGGCCTCCAGGATACCAGGAAGCACTCTACCACTGAGTCACACCCCAGCTCTCAGCTCTAAGCTATCTTAGCCTCCCTACTTTGCTATGAGGACTCTACTTCAAATGCACAGGTCCGTTCCCCACCCCCCACTTTGGAAATTCTCACTCCTTCCCCATCATTTTACCCCTGACAAATCCCACCCAGCAAACCTCTAAAGTCTACCTACTCTCAAGTCATGGCCCCAGCCCTCAATCCTTTTCAGAAGTACTCCACTACTCTCTCTAACCTTGTGGAACTCTACTCCTGAATGACTATGCTGTAGGTGACATTTATGAAGTGCTTATTATGTACCAAGTACATATCAGCCCCCATCTTATTCTCAGAAGAGCTCTGTCAGGTACTATTGTTTCCATTTTACAGAAAAAAAGCCCAAAAACTGGGAATGCCCTAAGGCCACCCAGTAGTAACACCTTGGAACTCCACACCCCTGAAACACCCCTCCACACACACATATTCAAGTTGGCACTCATGCACACACTCCCTCTTGCCCTCCTCATCTCACGCACCTCACTAAAGGTTATTTGTTGCCCTTGCGCCTGCTCTTCTGCCTTCATCATTTGTTCCAGATTGGTGGTCACCACAACAACAAACAGGTTGATGCCAATGAAGGCACCGACAGTGATGAAGATGGCAAAGTAGATGGCAGCCCCAATCTCCATTGCATACTCCCTCTTTTGCATCCTGGAGATGACAGGTAGGGGGCCCCCATAACCTCTGTGGTATTTTTTTTTTTAGTTTCTGGGCTTGAACTCAGGGCCTTATACTTTCTAGACAGGTACTCTACCACTTGAGGCACTCGCCAGCCCTTTTTTGTATTGGGTGTTTTCAAGATAGTGTCTCGTGAACTATTTGTCCGGGCTGGCTTCAAACCATGATCCTCCTGACCTCTGCCTCCTGAGTAGCTTGGATTACAGGCATGAGCCACTGGCGCCTGACTTCTCTAGTCTTTTGAGCCTCTGTTTCCTCATCTATGAAATTATCCCCAGGCCTGCTGGAGCTTCTGCCTGCTTTGCTACTGTTGTTCAGATCTAATTCCTACTCATAGTGATCACAGCAGCTGCTATTTACTAACTGCCTACTATGCTGCCAGAAAGTGAGCCAACCCTAAAGCCAGCCCTGTAGGGTGATTTGTATATCAGCGGTATAAAGTATAATCTATTAGCTGTATTCATTTTTTATATATACTATAAATAGAAGCACTCCATGCCAGCCTCTATACTAGGAGATTCATATATTTTTCTCTAGTGATCCTCACAGAAATCAATGACATAGTTAATAATATATTGTAGTTACCAATTTACAGATGAAATACTGAAGTTCAGAAGAGTAATAAAATAACTTGTCCAAGGTCACATGACAAGTATGGTGGAGCAAGGACTCAAAAGTCCAGTTCAACTTTATTGTGGAGTCTGTGACTCTTTTCTATTACCTGAATTCTGACAGATCATGACTGCAGAAGCCCTTTGCCTACTGGACTTTTACTCTTATGAAGGGGGTAAAATAAATAAATAAATAAATCATTCAGGGGAACCCACTCCCTAGACTGGGCTAGAAAGAAATAGGTCTTGAACTTAATAGAAAAGAGATAAAGAACAGAACACAAAAGTGATGGGGAGCCAGTCTCAGAGTGAGTGAAATAAGACCCAAAGTTCCCAGGAATCCAGGAAGTTTGATGGGCTCTGATGTGGGTTGGTCTGTAGTTCTTTAAACTACAGACTACAGACCTGCTTTCCTGCCCAGGCCTAGGCACTCAGCTGTTTAGCATAATACGAGAAGTATCATGAACAGGATCAGGTGGCCCTTTGTGTGGACTCTAGAGGGACAAGGCTTCAATAACCATGAACCCAGCCAGGTGCCAGTAGCTCACGCCTGTAATCCTTGCTATTCAGGAGGCAGAGATCAGGAGGATCATGGTTTGAAGCCAGCTCAGGAAAATAGTTCACAAGACCCTATCTTGAAAATACCCAACACAAAAAAGGGCTGGCAGAGTGGTTCAAGTGGTGGAGTGCCTGCCTAGCAAATGTGAGACCCTGAGTTCAAACCCCAATACTACTCCCCCCAAAAAAACCATGAGCCCAGAGGCCCCCACTCCCAGAAATTCCTTTTCCCCAATTTAAAGCCCTAGGCACTGCCTTCCTGCGAGGCCAGCCTCATTGTAGCCCCTGGAGTCCTACTCTCATTGAGAGCCCTTCTTTCCCTGTTCCTGTGCCTTACAGGAGCCCCAGCCCAGTCCTTGCCAAGAGGAGATGGGGCCTGGGAGCTCCATTGGAACTCACTGGAAGTCTCTGTAGATGTCCAGCCATCCATCTTGGGTGATGCAGATGAAGAGGGTGTACAGGGCCACCCCCATGTTTTGGAAATGCATGGGTACAAATGCACCAAAGAGCGTGACCCCAAACACAGAGAACACCTGCCAGAGAGATCAAAGCCTTACCTATGGGCCTTGGAGAGAGGTCATGCAAATGACATGCAAATAAATGCTGTCAAAGGAATCACATGGACTAGACCCATGTGCTGCCTCTCTTCCCCAGGCATCCATCACTCCCCTGTGACCCCGGGGTCTTATTCAGGGACGAGGAATGGCTAGCATAAGGGAGGGCACTGACCAGCATGAAGAAGAGGATGAGAGCCATGATATTGGCCATGTCAGGCACCGACTGTAGGATGACACGGATGATCCGGGCCAGGGGCTCCACCGCCATGCACACATGCACCAACCGAAGTACCCTGTGGCAGAGCCTCTCAAGGATGCCCCCTTGGCCCTCTCCTCCCTCCACACTGCCCCTCCCCAACTTCCCAAGAGGCAGAATTGAGCCCCAGTGGTTAACAACCTCCCTCTTCACTCCTCAGGTCCAAATGCCCCCCGTTATTCTCCAGAGCTCCCAGCTCACCTGACAGTATAGGTGATGGCACAGACATCGAGTTCATGAAAGATGAATCCCATGAGCAAGACAAAGACGATAATGAAGTTGAGGATATTCCAACCATCCTGGGTGGTGGGCCAGCCCCAGAAAGGGTTTGTCAGGCCCAGCCCATGGGCCAGGAAGATTGCCCTCCCCACATACCAAGGACGGGGGAGCTCAATATCATCCATTGTTGTTACCTTTCTGCCCACAAACATGCCACAAAATGCACACTCACTGTCCTACATGTGTCAACAGATAAGTGCAATCTGAGACTCACAGTGAAGTCTGTCCCACAGGTGCGTGGTTGATGCCTAAGCTGAGGCCCATTTTGCCTAGTGAACTGCAGGAAACATTCCTATCTTACAGTCAGGTGACCTGAAAACTCTTGGTGCTCTTGCCTTTGTGTGACACACACTACAGCTAATAAATCGAGAGAAATAATAATGGCCATGTGCCAAGTAGCTCACATCTATAATCCTAGCTACTCAGGATGTCAGTTCAAAGCCAGCCTGGCAAATGGCTCATGAAACCCTATCTTGACAACACCCAACCCTAAAAATTGTTAGCAGAGTGGCTCAAGTGGTAGAGCGCCTGCATAGAAGGATGAGTACTTGAGTTTAAATCCCAGGACTGCCAATAATAATAATAAATAATAATAATAATAAAGACATTAAGGAACACCACTTCAGTAGCCAGCTCAGAGGTGAAATAGCATTCACAAAACAAGGAAAGGAAACAGACACATTTTGCAAGCCTTTCGCCCAATAAGGTACTTTACTCATTCAGGAATGGGGAGTAGCGGAAGTGCACCTATATGAAAATTTTGACCAATCATTCCATTTTTTTTAATCTATCTATCTATCTATCTAGCTAGCTATCATTTGTCTATCTATTTTGGTGGCAGTACTAAGGTTTGAACTCAGGGCCTTGCACTTGTCAGGCAAGTACTCTACCACTTGAGCTATGCTCCAAGCCCTTTTGGCTTTACATATTTTTTGAATAGAATTTCACATAAATTATTTAATTTCTAGAAATCTGACCCACAATACTCTGGTACAGATACAAAATGACATTTGTATAAGAGTAAAACAACTATGCTGGGCATGGTGGTACATGCCAGTAGTTGTAGCTCTTAAGAGGTAGAGGCAGGGGGATTGCAAATTGGAGGCCAGACTGGGCTGTATAGGGAGACCTTGTCTCAAAAACATGAAAAGGTTAGCTGGGCACCAGTGGCTCATGCCTGTAATCCTAGCTACTCAGGAGGCAGAGATCAGGAGGATCACAGTTTGAAGCCAGCCTGGGAAAATAGTTCCCAAGACCCTATCTGGAAAAAACCCATCACAAAAAGGGTTTGGTGGAGTGGCTCAAGGTGTAGGCCCTGAGTTCAAACCCTAGTATTGTAACAAAAAAGTTGAAGAAAAGCAAAGTTCCCAGAGTAAGATCAGAGACAACTTGAATAAACTGTGGCACATTTTATAGAGTACTATGGTGGTCATAAAAAGAAAAATGAGAAAAGTCTTCTAGTACTAATACAGAAAGATTGTCAGGATCCAATAAATGCCAAAGAAAAAAAAAACAAAAAAAAAACCAGCAGTTTTTATAGTATGCTACTGTCAGAAAAGGGAGGACTAAAATATTTATACCTATTTGCTTAGAATTGTAAAAGTAGCTCCTGGAGGATCAACAAGAAGCTATAAATATAAGATTACTTAGAGAAGATGAAGGTGGGGGATAGGAGATGAGGGGCCCGGAGTGGACACAAGAATTCTCTGTGTATCTTTCAATATGATTTTGGTCAGCATGTGCCTGCATTAAATGCTCAAAAAGAAAACAATATTTTAGTGGAAAAAATGTTCTTAATTTGGGGCAGCCCAACAAGCACAAGTTATTCTGGCTTCTTAGAGTCTGTGCCTACATATACACAAGGAGACACAATGTAATCCCAGGGAGGCAGAGGTAGGAGGTTTGAAGTCTGAGGCCAGCCAGAGCAAAACTTGAGACCTTATCTGAAAAACAAACTGAAAACAAAAGCTCTGGGGGCATGGCTCAAGAGGTAGAGCGTATACTGAGAGCAAGGGCAGGTCCCTGAGTTCATTCCCCAGTACCACCAAAGAAAGAGAGAATGAGACAGGGAGAATTCCATCCCTGTATCCAACCAATATTAAGCTCCTATTGTATGTTATGCTCAGAATCATTTCCTGAGAATACCAGGTGTCTGTCCTGCTGGGCTCATAGATTATTCGAGAGGCGGACGCCTCATGAGTGAGATAAGTAGAAAGTACTATGGAGACCCAGAGCAGCATGCAGCCTAGCCTGGGAGGGATGGGAAGATTCCTCTTGAAAAGAAGAAATTCCAATGAGTCTGTAAGTGGGAGTAAAGCAAGTAAAGAGGAAAAATCAGAAGAAAGCTGTTTGACACGTGAAAATGATAAGAAATTTCAGTGTCCACAAAAACGCCCCTCCACCACGAGGGCTGGGGATTGAACTCAGGATGTCACAGTTGCTAGGCAGGTACTCTTACCACTTAATCCACTCCTCCATTCCTTTTGGATTGGTTACTTTTGAGATAGGGTCTTGCTTTATGCCCAGGCCAGCCTGGACCATGATTCTTCTATTTGTGCTTCCCCATGTAGCTGGGATGACAGGCACATGTCATCCTCAAAAACTTTTTGTCAGGGCTGGCCTCAAATTGTGATCCTCCCAAACTCTGCCTCCCAAGTAGCTAGGATTACAGGCTTGAGCACCACACCTGGTATTGTTTTATTTATTTGGTATTGAGTTTTGAACTCAGGGCCTGCACCTTGAGCCACTCCACCAGTCCTTTTTTGTGATGGGTTTTTTCACAATAGGGTCTCACGAACTATTTGTCCAGCCTGGCTTTGAACCACAATCCTCCTACTCTCTGCTTTCTGAGTAGTGAGGATTACAGGAGTGAGCCACCAATGCCCAGCTTGCTTTTGTTTTTTGAGACAGTATCCTGCTAGGTAGCTCAGCCTGGACTCACACTCACTATGCAGCCTAAGATGGCCTTGAACATATGATCCTTCCACTTCAGTTTCCATAGTCCTGGGATTACAGGTGTACCACCACAATATCAATAAAATTTTATTGGAATCAAGACAAGCACATATGTAGGCCCACCTACTTAGGAGGCTGAGGAAAGAGGATTGCTTGAGCCCATGAGTTTGGTGCCAATCTGGACAACATAGCGAAACCCTGTCTCAAAAACTGACTTGGAGGTGTGGCTCAAGCAGTAGAATGCCTATTTTGCAAGCCTGAGCAAATCAGCAAAGCTTGTTTTTTATCTGGTGTATTACTGAAAAAGTTTGCTAACCTCCCCAGCTCTAAGCCCCTATAAATTAAGGTAGATATTCTCAATCCCATTTTTCAGATATGGAAATTAAGGTCTGCCTGACTACAGAGCTGGGAGAGGCAGAATTGTGAACTGAATTGCTTCCAGGAGCACTTCCAGAACAAGTACTATTCTGCCATATCAGACATCTCAGAGACTTTCTCTCTCTCTCTCTCGCTCGCTCTCTCTCTCTCTGTGCACACATATACGCACCCCTCAGTTTGCATGCCCAGGGAGGATTAGGGAAATGGCAGGAAGGTCCTAGGAACTCACCTTCCAGAAAATCCAGAAGCCATTGAGCCAGCCTAGGAGAACCTCGCAGATGAGGATGGTCAGCACAATGTCATCTATGGTAGAGAACAACTCATAGTGTTTCTACATGGAAGACAGAGAAAAAGAGAGGCGGAGGTGTCAGAGAGCAGGGCCTAGGTGAGGCCAGGGAGAGAAAACTTCTGGGGGGAGGGGAGGTCACATCTGTGCTGCTCTTCCTCCTTAGCACCTCTGTTAGTCCCTTTTTAAGGACCCACTTCCTGTGTACATGCCAGGCACTATGCTAAGACCATTTGTCATATTGGTCACATTGTTTCATGTGACAATCGGACTGTCCTGAAAAGTAGGTTCCATTCTCATCATACAGATGGGGAATTCAGGAGGGGCCCATGCACACACAGCTGGTTGATAAAGACTGTTGTCTACCCCAGGCCTTTGCCCATAACCTCTAGAGCAGTGGTATTTGGGACAGGGAGATTGGAGAGAGGTTGACTAGGCTCCAGGATTGGAAGGAAAAGACCTGACCTTTGAGGCCATAGGACAACAAGCCCTAGGACCCTTCTCTGCTTGTCCCAACCACTCCTGCTGCTCCAGTACCCTAACCCTCCTAGGTTATGCCTGACCACACTCCTGGTGTCCTCCTTCTTGTGGGTCCAGGACATGTGCCCTGGGTGTATAGATGACTAGGGTCTGTCCAAAACCCAACTCATTTCCACCCAAACTTGATCCTATATTCCTTTAGCTTCCTTATAGCTGTGACCCCCTACCAGCCTGTAGTCCCCCAACCCTTACTCCAACTTGACATACCAAAGTCACCTTGCCTCCTCCATTTCTTTACTCCAGTGGCCAACAGACTAAGTGTCTGAGGCTTCCTGCCACACATGTGGGCCTCCAGCTGCCCACACTTGCTACTATAGCACTACAGCCAACTTCAGGCTTCTTCCACCCAGATGGGAAGTTAAGGCTTATGGGCTCCCTGCGTGTTCCACATTCCCAAAGTGCTGTCAGGACTGGTTGTATGTTTAGAGGAAGATCTTCTTTCCCTTCCTTATCCCTGCAGGTAATAGGCCCTTCTCAGTATTAATGGAAAGAGCTTCTAAGTCATCCTCCTGGCTTCTCCAAATCATAGGCATCTATAGCTATATCAGATATATATATATATATATATATATATATATATATATATATATATATCTCCACAAGTCTTTCATGGCTCCTGTGGCTGCAGGATAAAGTTCAAAACCAACCTGGCATTTACAGGCCTCTAGGATCTGACCTTCATGGACACAAATCCTACATTAGGATTCTTGAGTATAAGAAATATATTTTACATTTTGGCTGGAGGTGTGGCTCAAGTGGTAGAGCAAGCACAAGGCCCTGAGTTCAACCCTTAGTACCACACACACGAAAAAAAAGAAATATATTTTTACATTTTACAGCATAAGCTGTCATCTCTTCCTCCATCTCCCTTTTCCCTCCCTTTCTCTGTATCCATCTCCCTCCCTCAAATCTATTTGATTCTTTGTCAAAATGCTAGCCTCTGCACTCTGAATTGATTTCATGATCTATTAATTGCTGTGCCCTCTGCTGCCTCACTCTGCAAACTGCAGGTGAGTTTCTGCCTCCAGGTCTGGCCACTGGCCCTCCTCCTGCGTCTCTCCTCCACCTTCTCTTCTGTCTGGCCCTTTATTTGGAGTCTTCCCTGGGAGCCTGCCTTGGTCCTCTCCTGTCCTTACTCTGAAGGCCAGCTCATCCACAACTTAGCCTTGGTGCCCACCTTGTAGACATTGACATCTCTTATGTATCCATCTCCAGCCCTGTGCCCTCTGCAGTCTTTCAGATCTGACCCCAAACTCCTTTTGAGACATCTTTGTGTGGACGTTGTGCAATACTGCACAACTCAGACAGACCTCCACATCCTCCCCAAACCTCCTTTTCCTCCTATGTCTTCATGTCCCAACGCATAGCATCAGCCCCATACCTTTGCTCAAGCCAGAAACTTAAATTCCTGCTCTCCTTTATCTTCATTCTTGAGAGGATGACTTGTGTTAACTCAAGGCAGCACACAGTGAGTGCTCATTAGATGTTAAATGTCAATGCAGTCATCAGGAAGGCCCACAAATGTGATGCTTACAGACCTGCATCTGACCTCTGCTCACCCACTGCCATTGCCCTGGTCCAAATGCATCACCTTTCACCTGGACATGTGTGACAGGCCTATTTCCCCATGATTGGCCCCCTCCCTCCCACAGTCCATGCTGTAGCAACCATTTCAGGTTTTCTACAATATGTCTTGTCATTTTGCTTCAAGGCCTTAAACCCTTCCCTGGCTTTCTACCAATATGGGATTCAGGCCATCTTCCTCAACATAACATAAAGACCCTGACCACCTCTCTGAACTCATCCACCACTCTGGATATATGGAATTAAATAACACAATTCATGTAAGAAACTAAAACATCAAAGATAACACCAAGATCATACTAGACTTCAAGTTTCACATCTAGAACTCTCATACATTCTATTTATTTTGCCCAAAATGTTCTTTTCCTACTGGGCATTGGTGCCTCACACTTGTAATCCTAGCTATTCAGGAGGCAGAAATCAGACGGATCTCAGTTCAAGGCCAGCCCAGGCAAACAGTTCATGAGACCCTATCATCAAAAAAAAAAAAAAGGCTGGTGGAGTGACTCAAGGTGTAGGCCCTGAGTTTGAGCCCCTGTACTCAAAAACAAAACAACAACAACAAAAATGCTCTTTCCCATCTCTCTTTGTCTGGTCAACTCCTCATTCTTTATTCTCTGCTTAAGTATGACCTCCTCCAGGAAGCCTTCCCTGACCTCCAGATTAGGTTCTATTGCCTTTTTTTGAGCTCGCATGTACTCTGTGATACTCAGACATTTGTAATGGCATATTTGTGTCTGTCTGAGATGAGAACTGGGTCTGTCGGGTTCATACCTGAAACCTTGGCACTGAGCAGAGTCAGCACCTGCCCCAGAGAGATTCTCCCCTAGTGATTGTTGTATTGGACACCATTCCCCACCTGGTGCCCATTTGCCTGCCTCTGAGCACACCACTTTCTCCTGCCCTTCTATATATCCAATGCATTCCTCCTAGAGCCCCCTCCACCACAAAGTCTTCCTTGTCCTCCAGGTCCCTGGAAGCCCAGAGATGACAAACCCTTGAAGATCATCCAATTCAATCATCATAGACGAGAAGCACCTTGCCTCATGTCCCCATTAGAGCCAATGAGGGCACAGATCAGGCTGGGGTTCTACCTGAGCAAAATAGGAGTTGGTGCGGAGAGCGATGGTGATGGCATTAATCACCAGCAGCAAGGCCAGCAGCATCTGGAAGGCCGGATGTCGAAGCAGCTGTTTGACATACATACGAGTGATAAACTCCTCCATGTCCCAGGCATCCTAGGAGAGGGCAGAGATCTTCCTTCAGGCAGGTGTCACTACAAATGGCCTCTGCCTGGACCACCTGCTTTCAATGAATGGGGGTAGCTCTGGAGGGGGATATTGCAATCATTTGATGCAAGCATCCATGTAGAGGTCACGATCCAAGTGGTTCACTAAAAGATGGTCACTGTTGGGAAATCTTGTGGGGGTCATAGCAACAGGGTCTCTTGTGGCAGGCATTGCCAAGCAGTTACTAAAATATCAAGGGAGGGGGTCACTGCAGGGGTTACTGCAGGTGAGGGTTCTCTGGGGACTCTTAGAAGGCTTGGGGCTGTGGGGTGAGGGGCTGTGGGGTGAGGGTTACTGCAGTCCTGCAGCCCAGCCTGTCCCCACCTTCTGACTTATGATGTCCCGGCGGTTGACAAGTACTTGCTCCTCGCGGTGCCCACCGATGGGCTGGTACACGCTCCTCTGCAGGAGAGAGGAACAGGCTCTTAGTGCAGCCACTGCCCCTGCCCATCCCAGGATGCCAGCTCAGAGGTGGAGCCAGGCAGGGGACCCCTACCAAGGAATGTTTGATGTTGTGAGTGTCTGTCCATTGCTGCCACCAGGCATTTTGATCAGTCATCTTTGCGCTTGTCCACTCCTCCTATTGAAAGAAACTTCACAGAAGTGGGTCTAGCTCCCCCTCGTGGTGAGATCACAGAGGTGGCTGTGACTCCCCCAGCCTTCCACATTCCAAGGCATTCAAACTCTAGAGCAACTTCTCCCACAGCCCCCTCCTTTGCTGCCTGGCTGGGGTCAGAGGTCAAAGGCTGGTGGGAATAGGTCAGGTCTCCTGTGCCTAGATGGAGTTAAGAGATGTGTTCCTGCTCTGGATCTAGGTGCTGAGGTGAGGTCAGGTGAAGAGGGAAGAGGTTTTGTGCCAGGAACTTCCCTAGGCAGAGCCCCCCCTTCCCTCCAGCTACCCTGGCTCCCAGCCTCCCCACCCTGCTCTTCCTTACCAGGTAGGTTTCTTTATCTACTAAGTGACAATTTCTCACTGTCCTCCCTAGGGGTGGGATAGGACACACCTCTGGCCTCCAAAGGGCTAGGAGACATGAGTATGAACAGCAGCCCTCCCTAGTCATGGACTAGGGTCCCGCATCCTGGTAGGCAGGTGCTTCAGGTGCAGAGCCCAGGTCTATGGGGCCAAGAATTAGGCTTGTCACCTGCACCTGGCAGACAGCATTCACCCCAGTCTAGTTTTTCATCCCTCTGGGGGACAGATTCCCAATTCTAAAGTAAAGGCACACAGATTAATTTTAGAGAAATCAACTTTATTCAGTGGAAAAGTGTCTCCTCTGTAGAATAAACTCCTGTCCAGACCTGGTTTGGAGAAGGGAGCACTGCCAAGGGATTAAGGGAGGTGGGCTGTGCCCCAAGATCTGAGGATGGTGGGAGAATTTCCTCCTCACAGGAAGGAGGGTGGCACAAAGCTCACTTTGTCTCACTCCAACTAAGATGGGAGCAGAAACTGTAGAAGCCCAGGCAGAGGGTCAGCTTGGGGTGCAACCATGGACTATCAGTACTTCCAGCCTTGAAGAGAAGCAGAGATGTGCTATTTTAGACATGTCAGAGACTGAGGACGAGATAGTCCTCAGATACAGAGGTCAGGAGCTAGGGTACAGGCCAGGATCAGAGGTCAGGAGGTGGGAGGTTGTTCTCTGGGGTCAAGGGGCATTGATGGGAGGGCTCCTCGGGGTCCAAGGGCAGGGGTTGTGGGGACTGTTCTATGGAATCAGAGGGCAGGACTGGGGAGCTGCCCTCAGCCTGAACCACTCCCCAGGCCCCTAGGCCCTCTGAGTATAGCTCCTGGTTCTGTTCCTTCCAACGCCGAAACTTCTCTCCAGTCAGCTCCGGGTCATCCAGCACTTCCTCCAGGGCCTGCAATTCCTGAAGCTTTGCCTGTGAGGGGAGCAGGGCATAAAGAGCCATGATCACAAGGAGTGGAGCAGAGCCCAGAGCCAACTCTGGAGTCCTGTACCAGGACCAGGCCACTTCACATGAGCCTGGGTGAACTTCAAATCCCAGCTCAGAATCTAGTACTTGGACTAGTTCACTACTGAGCCCAGACTGAAGCATGGAGATCAGAACTAAGTCCAATGTCAAGTGCTAAGCATAAGCCCAGAGCTGAGCCCCAGAGTCAGAGAGCCAGGCCCCAGGGCGCTGAGGTCAGTCTGCAATCTGGAACCCAGGTGGAGCTGGGAGCCAGGGGCTGAAACCTGAAGCCTCATGTCTTGCCTACCCCAGTGCCCCCAGCTGACCTTGAGTGTGCTCTGCAGTGCCCGCACACGATGTACTCGCTCGTTGAGGTGGGGGTCTCGATTGCGCCTCATGAAAGAGCTCCGCCACTGTTCGTGGGTCAGGAGTTGTGGCTGGCCCAGGAGGGATACGCCACCCTGCCTCAGCCCCTGAACCATTCCTTCCAGTGTCCCTTCACTGCTGTCTGTGGAAGCAGGGAGCAGGGTGAGGATGTGCCCACCCAAGCCACCAGCCCAGTGCCCAGCTCCCAGCTCAGCACCTGCCGGAGGCCAAAGGAGGTCTGTGGGCTGTGCTGCTGCATCGGGGAGGGTACAGGTGACATGTCTCCATGGAGTGGACTCCAGGCTTGAGCCGGGCTGGGCTGAATCAGGGCAGAAGTCAAGGAGGGCTTTAGCCTGAGCCCCATGTCCTACCCCTCACCTTCTACCCCGAAGCAGCCCCCTACTTACTGAGGCTGAGCAGGACCCAGCTTCATCATCAGGGTCTTCTGCTTCGGTCTCACTGTAGCAGTCTGGGACGGGTGGGGAGGAGCGGTTAGGGAAACAATAGGGTTTGGGAACACAGCGAGTGGGCTAGGGGATCTGAGTTCCAACCCCCATCCCACAAAAGGCAGAGGCTCAGTGAGATCCAGACTCCTCCGCCCACCCCTGTGAGGTACCCACCTTCCTCTCGGGCTGAGGGGGCTTGGCCTTGAGATTGGTACTTAGAAATGCAGGTAATGAGGTGACGCACCCACCTGTGGAGGAGCAAATGGGTCTCAGGGAGTTTCTACTCACTGAGGCCCCACTTGCCAGGGCCTTTTAACCCACATCTCATTCAATTCTCAGAGCAACTCAAAGAAGTAAGAACTCTTCTATGTCCATTTTACAGATGATGATACCGAGGCTTCGAGAAATGAGCACCTTGACCAATCACTAACAGAGGGTTGGGATGTGAATCCAGGCTCCCACACACTCACAGGGCTGGGAGCTATGTGAAAGCAGGGCAGGGAGGAGGCACTCACATGCTCAGATCAGACAGGGTATCAGCTGCGAAGATGAAGGGCTTGTACACATCGTGAGTGAGCTGGAACACACTGCCAGGGGGCAGAGGAGTGTCACTCATCATCTTCCTGGGTGTGCCCAGCCAGAACCCAGGGAGGCTGGACCAGGAGTACCAGCTACCTGCCATGCACCTGCCATTACTGCCCCCTTCCCTCTCCCTTCCTCTACCCACCCCCAAGTCACCCCCCAAAACTTAACTATTTTTTCTTCTGATCATGTCCACTTTCCAGACTATAGTTGGAGACATTGATGAGGCCTTCAGCCTTTTCATCCTGAGGGATCACAGCAAGAGGGTGATTGCAGACCTAGTACCACCTAGGTCAGCTCCTTAGTTACCCCTCAGCCTTCTGAGGGCAATGGAAGGGAGAGGATGTTTCTTGGGCTCTAACCACAAGCCCCTCAGTTTCTGGGGCTCAGGGCAGGAGGTAGGGCCAAGGGGCACCTCTGAACCAGAAAAGAGGAGCAAAGATATCCAGAGAAACAGCCAAAAGGACCCTGCTTATATCTGTATTCCTTCAGTAGACATAATGAAGCTACTTCATGCCACCGAACACATTGACCTTTCCTGGCCTTTCCTGGTTTTCTTCCCCCTTCATCATTTTTTTTAAATTTAAATTTAAATTTGTTTGCTAGTACTGGGGTTTGAACTCAAAGCCTTGCACTTGTTAAGCAAGTTCTTTACCACTTGAGCCACTCCCTGGCTCCCCCTTTCATCTGATCATCTTCCAGATATTGGTTTCTCAGAGAAGCTCTGTATTCTCCAGAATGGAGTAGAAACCTTGCTGGGCTCCTACACATCTCCTGGACTTTTCCTTCCTCTTAGCCATGTTCCCCATATTGTCCTTGAATATGTACTCATCTCTCTGCCCTGCTAGCCTATAAGTTCTGGAGGGGCAGGAACTGTCCAATTCCTTCTTGTGTCTCCAGAGTCTAGTCTGGAGCTGGGTCCAGTAGGCACCTGAATGTTTGTCAAACGAACAAATGACTCAGTGGTCCATCACCAGGATGGACAGAATATCAGGAGAGGAAGGAGAGCTGGGAAGAATAAAAGTGATTTTCACTACACCTCCTATGATATCTTCTCTAAACTTCTTTTTCTTTTCTTTTTTTGGGGGGGATGTGGGAGCTCTAACCTAGGACCTTGTGACTGCTAAGGACATACCTACCACTGAGTTATTCCTCCAGCCTCCTTCAACCTTCTTTTACACATGTATAAACTCATTTCTCTCCAAAGAGCCATCTCCATTTTACAGTTATTGGGGATATTGGGGCCTGGGAAGGTCTAGGGCCCACCTGCGATGGCAGATGGGATGGAGGTAAGAATTGTGACCTGTGCAGTTGTGTACGTGGTCTCACCTGGGGCTGGCGGTACCAGTAGAGTGTGTGTCTCTTGAGCACAAACCAGCAGCGGCGCCAACGTGGACCCATGAAGCCGCCAGGTGCCTTGCGCAGTAGGAGCCAGCCATCACAGTCCGGACGGCCCAGCTCCCGACATGACACCCGCCTGCGGCTCAGCCTTGTCGCCACGCCTGTAGCACAGTACAGTGTAATTGGTGAGGGGCTGCCAATGTTCCCCAAACCTGCTCCCTGGCCCCCTCCATGAGCATCCCCAAAAGAGATGTCTGACCCCACACTCTGGGCTCAGACTATTACAGGGGCCATCTCTGAGCTGAAGTAACCTTGCCATTTTAGAGATGAGGAAACCGAGCTGTTTGTGAGCAGTTTGTTTCCAGGAGAGGCTGTGTGGGAAGTGTGTGAGGATAGTCCTGCCTAGCATCCTAGATTTTTAAGTGTTCCTCCTATGGGGGACCCCACCAGGTCAGGGGCACTCATACCTTTTGATTTCTTCTGACCAAGGACAGGATTCTGAAAGGATCATAGAGAGGTCAGAGAAGGATCTAGGTTCAGAGGCCATACCCCTGCTTCTGAGCTTGAGCTTACCTTGTCAGGGTGTCCTGGGGACCCTGGAGGCTCTGCTATTCCTGCTGGGAATGTGGCTGGAGATGCAGGGGGACTGGACAGATGTTCAGGATCAGGGGAGCTAGAGTCTGTCGGGGAGGGAGGAGAAAGGGGGAAGTCCATACTCCCAGTCTCAGGCTGGGGGGAGTGTCAGGATGGAGGGTCAGAGGCAGGCACGTGGATGCCTTGCTAGGTCTCAGCTACCTGGTGAGTCATTGAAACTACCTGTCCAGGTATGGCTGGGTGCAGGACTTGGGTTTGAAGTGAGATCAAAGGCAAAGACAGTTTCAGATGGGTCCCTGGGGAGAACAAGGGGAGTTAAGATAAGCCCAACTTCCCCCCGAAAAGATACACCCAGGGCAGAGCCTGTTACCTGGTAGACAGTGGGGCTACAGCCAGTGATTGGGTTCCCAGGTGTGGGCAGTCCAGGAACATCTGAGAACAAGAGGAAGATGAGTGATGGGTGATGGAGCTGACAAGAAGGGTGTGAAAGCAGGTGAGCATGGGGTGGGAGGCAGGTACCTGTTTGGGGGGCTCTGGCTCTGGGATCTTCTTTAGCACTAAGCTGACTCCAGCTGGCTCCCGCAGCAGTTCCCTCACCACATTCTTGTGGGGCCAGCCCACCTAGGGGATAGGGATAGGGGCAGGGGCAGGGCAGAGACGCTGGGCTGGCATCAAGCTGGGCAGGAGACTCTGAAGCAGCCCAACAACTCCTGCCCTGGAATTCGGAGCTCTCTCTGAGCTTCCTGATCTACCTCCCCCCACACTGCCTCCAAGGAGCCTCCATGATCCCCTTCACCTTGGCTCTGCAGAGGCAGGTGAGAGGGCCTGGGTGGTGGGCAGCTGAGAAGTATATTCAGGTTCTGACCTACCCGAGCTGGCTCATCTCATGGAAGGCAGCTCCCACAGCCCTGGTCTTCCCAAGGGGCAGAACCTTTAGATACCTTCAACCCACCAACTGTGGATTCCACTCAGTAGTATTCCCCTCCCCTCCACCATATCCCTCTCCCCCTCACTCACCACCACCTGCTCATTGATCTGGACAACCTCATCTCCAGGCAGGATCTGCAGTTGGGAGTCAGGGGGCACCTAGTATAAGGAATGGAGCCAAGAGAGTGAGCTCTCCCAGGGCCCAGAGCTGGCTCTGCTAACCCGTGAGAAGGCTCAGGGGTGAGTGTCTGAGAAGGGTGTGGGGCTGTCACCTGGGTGCCTACTTGGGACACGAAGTGCAGGCAGTTGCTGGTGGTGTGGATTTCCAGGCCCTGCAGAGGCAGAAGCTATACTCACTGAAGGCTTGGGGGCAGAGGTCCTCTGGGCTTCCGTGTAATCAACTATACAAAGTAGGCTCCCAGCTAGTAGTATAGGATCGTTCAGGGCCCAGACAAGGCTGCCAAGGGGTCAGGAGAGAGGCAAGGGTTCAGACTCACCGAAGGATCATCCAGCTGCACCTTCTCTAGCACGGCCTTCTGCTCCAGCAGCTCCTGTGGGCTGCAGCTCAGGATGTTGTGGCAAATCCCAGCCACATGGCTGCACTGGGGGAGAGGAGCAGGTTGTCGTCTGGCTGAGCCCAATCCACCCACACCCCTTCCCTTTCACACAGCTCCTCCCCGACTCACGATCCTCAGGACTTTGCTCTCTTTCTCAGCCTCTGAGCAGTCCTGGAAGCAGAATGAAAAAGCAAGAGCCTATTTTGAGTGAGTGCTGGGAGTGGGGTGCTGCCATCTTCTGAGGGTATGGGGTAAGGGTGAGGAGTTCCTGCCATCCCACCCCATTTATCTTACACTGGCCCCCTGCCTAGAAGGATAGGGTCTCAGTTTCAACCCCAAGGTCTTATCCCTCTAACACCAGGCCTTCAGAAATTGCCACACATGGCCTTCCCTGCCACCTGCTTCTGACAGTCAAACTTTCTGAGCTTCTGTTACCATTGAGACCCCATGCCCCTGTAGCCCTATACCCAGAGACAGGGCCTCCTCTCCTTCTGCGTAGGCTCACCCGCTTGCCCTAGCCCTCACACGATCCCGGTCTGATTCACAGGTTATAAAAAGCTTAGGGGCATTGGCCAAGCCTAGCCCTTGTGCTCCTACCTCCTGCAAGACCTGGCTCAGCTCCCCACATAACAACCCGATCTCCTGGCAGGTGGAGAAGTCATTTAAGTGAGAGAAGAGGTACCTGGCAGGGAAAGATGGTTCAGGGACTGTGTCAGAGCCAATTTCTCACCTGAGACTCAGACAATTCCTGCCCTGATGGGTTTTGCTTTGGAGTAAAGGAGATGATGGTATTGTAAGGAGTTCAGCACAGAACTTTTTGTCATGCGCCTGCTATGTGTTTAGCACTGGGGAGACATACATTAAATAGTTATATCAATAATGATTTATCTTCAACTGTAATGAGTGTTGTGAATGAGCTCTGAGAATGAATAACAGGGAAGGCTTTCCAGAGGAAGTGACATTTGAGGTGGGACTGTAGACAAGCAGCAGCCAGTGAAGGGGCGGGAAAGCTCTCTACTGAATGGCTGTTGATAAGACAGATTACAAGGTTCAGGGTGGGGTGGGAACTAGGTAGCCCAGTGTCCCAGACAGACTCTTTGACCTGCTCTGCCATATCTGATCAAGAGCCAGGCTCTGTCTTTTCTCTCCCAGGCCTGGAGGAAGCCAAGGATGGGAAGGGTCCCCTCACCATAGCCATAATCTGAATCACCTATTGAGCCAGAAAAGGAGGGCACGGGCCTCACACAGTAGCTCCACAGCCGCACTGAGAACATCGGCAGGGGTCTCCACACAGTCCCCCAGGTGGCCCTGGACTAAGCTCTTGAAGGCCTGGGTCTCCTCCAGAAGCCTCTCCGTCAGCCTCTGTAGATTCTCTGTCTGTAGCCCAGAGCTCTGCATCAGAAGAGGGTGGGTCACTGCCCAGCAGCAACCATCCCATGTAGACAACCCCCAGGCTGTGGATGCTGCAGCCAGTGCAGCCAGCATTCACTTACCAGGGCCCAGAGTTGTTCCACCCCGTCCAGAATGAGCTCCTGATGGCCCAGAGGCCACACAGTCAGAGCCTCGAGGCTGTGGGGACAGAGCTGGAGTAGATACTTGCCAGACAGCTCCCAGTCCTCAAAGGGGTAGTCCTGTAGGGAGTCATCGAGTCCTGGAGAGATAGCAGGAGTCAGTGCAAGGAAAACAGAGGTGTAATAACCTTTTGGGCCAATTCTTCACTCTTAACTAATGATAGACGAAAATGGGCTTTGCTGGGCTGGAATTGTGGCTCAAGTGTACAGCATCTGTCTGGTTAGCACAAGGCCCTGAAGTTCAAACCCTGGTACCACCAAAAAAAATAAGGGAGAAGGGCTTTGCCCATTTCACAGCTAAGCCACTAAATTGAGGACTGTAGAGGGCAATAGCTCTAAAAAAGTAGTTTACCCTCCCCCACAAAAAAGAATAGTTCCTAGGAGCTAGGTGTGGTAGTACACATCTATAATCCCAGCAGAGGCTGAGGTGGGAGGAGCTCAAGTTTGAGGCCAGCCTGGGCTACACAGGGAGACCCTGCCTGAAAAAAATAAATAAATAAAAGTGTTCTCCTGACCAGCAGCAGCTCACTGGGTAATTTGTTGGAGATGCCCGGGCCTCACTCCACAATTGATGAAATAGACACCCAAGGCTGGAGCCTTACAGTTTGTGTTTTTGGTTTCTTGAGACAGGGTCTCACTATGTAGCTCAGGCTGGTCTTGAACTTGCTATGCAGCCCAGGCTGACCTCCTGCCTCCACCTCCTGAGTACACCACCACACCCAACACAGAAGTTTGTGTTTTGACAAATCCTGCTGGTGACTGTGATGTTCCCTTAAGGCTGAGAACTAGCGGTATGAAGGGTATGTGAAGGGTTTTGGAGTCTGGGAGACCCGAGGGTAGGCTAGCACTTGAATCAGCTTCTTCTCCTGTAAAATGGGGACAACTAAAGTACCTACCTTCTGACCATTCATATTAGATGACATGATCTGTGTCAAGCCCTTGGTCCACTGTCTAGCAATAACACCTATTGTATTATCATTGCCAGGCTGTCTACCATGACCTGTAAGGCCCGGCGTGAGCATGTTGCTGCCTCCTGCCTTTGTAGCACCCCAGCACAGCCCTCCAAACTCAACACTTCCGATCCCAAGCACCAATTCCTCCAAGCTTCTGGAATGTTCTTCTGCCTCAGGGTCCCTGTATGTGCTATTCCTGTTGCCTGCACTGCTCTTCCAGCAACTCCATTGCCCTTTTTCATCTAACTCCTTCCAAAAAGCTTTCCACCACTCCCGAGGTTGGCCCGGGGGCCTCTTTCCTTGCTCCCATTGCCCCCTGAGCCTCCACACACCCCAGCGCTTGAACACTGATCTCCCACTTATCACAGGCTGTTCAAAGAGCAGGCCTTAAATAACCATTCGTCTGTAAACCTGTCTTTGCCTGGCACAAAGCAGACACTCAGAAATAAAAGTTGTAAGGGCTTTTCCATATGTTGACATATTGGATCTTTGCTGCAGTTCTAGGAGGAGGTGGGGACTTTTGTCATCCCTGTTAAAAAGATGGGAAAACTGACACAGGGGGAGTTTCAGTAGCTTGCTCACTCTTTGGAGGAGTTCCTCGAATTCCAAGCCAGGCTGCTCACTGGGGACTGTATGACCCTTAAGAGTACTGGCCTGGGTGTTCATGGACCTGTCATTCCCTGACTATGGGCCTGGGAGCGCCTTTTCACACTGAATGTGTTGGGCTGCCTCCCTTCCTCCCAGCAACCCTGACATTGTTACCAGCATCTCATTGTGTCCACTTCTTGGACGGAGAAACTGAGACCTGTGGTCAGAGTTGGTGAGGGGTGACGCTGGCCTGGAGCCTAGTCTGGGAGTCTGACTCCAGCTCCTACTGGGACTGCTCACCCTGAGCACCCCAGGCCTGGCATCACCCTTGGAGGGATGTCCTGACCGGCCTCCCTACCCTGATCTGCACCCACAGAAAGCCCTCTGTCTCTGTAAATAGTTCGTGTCTTCTGGCTGTCTAGGGCTCACTGGGCCTAGGGAGCATCTCCCCTCAGATAGAAGTCCGCCCTCCCCGCAGGGGGGGCGTGTCACTCTTTAGACTGGCTGTGGCTTCTTTCTGTCACTGGGAGCCTCAGGCTGGAGAGGGGAAAATGACACCAGAGCAAACTCTGTTCCAAGACAGAGCAAATCATTTCCTGCATCTGCACATCAGTTTCTGCTTCGGAAAAAAACAACCCACTGGGCCCTGGGGCACAGGGAAGATGAAGGAGATAAAGGGGGCGTGGGCGGGAGGGGACTCCCTTCTGTTTTCATTAACCAGCTTGGCGGCCTCTTGGGACGCAGAGGTGATGGAAGACCCCTTTCTGGTTCCTTGGGTCCTCTGAGGTTATCCGGTCTGTCCCTCAGCCTAGCACAGTACCTGGTACGTAGTCGCTCTATAAATACTTGTTGACTAGCAGACTCCGCAGATTCTTTTTCCTTTTCCTGTCGTGACCTTCTGCCGACGGGACATTAGCCCCCCTCGAGCCCACCTCTGTCCCGACCCCACCCACCTCTCAGCCAAGCTGCCACCTTCCGGGGGTGCCAGGTCTCTACCGGCTCCATGCCCAGCTCCGCCCGCCGCGTCCCGCCGGCACAGGAATTTCCGCTCCCAAAGCCCAGGCCGGGGCGGGCGGGGTCGGGGCGGGGCCGCTGCATACCTGGGCCCACGTGGCCGCCCAGGTGAGGCACTCCGACTGTCATTGGCCCGCCTCCTGTCCACCTCCCGTCCCGGCCCTCGGGCATCCTGGGGCCACTGCGAGAGCTGTAAGCGCAGTAGCAAAGCTCTGGGAAGAGGGGCCCAGGCCCCTGAGTGCATGTGACAGCTCTCACTAGCTGAGTGGCCTGGGACTGACCCTAACCCTTGTGCATCAGTTCCGGGTCTGTAAAAGGAACATAAACAGTCCCTGCTTCAGAGCGGCTTGTTAGGGTATCTAAGCTAGTAGCCCTAAAACCTTTAGGACTGGTTTTTTTAGCCCCCTCTTATTTTGCATCCTTTAGCAGTTTGGTGAGGTTTTTGAACCTTTTCTCAGAATAAGGCTTTTTATTTTTGAAATTGGGTCTTGGTATATTGCCAAAGCTGGTCTCCAACTCGTGGGTCCAGTGAGCCTCCTGCTTCAGCCTCATAAGTAGCAGGTGCTATGCACTACAGGCACACGTCATTGGGTCAGCTGGAATATAATGCTCTGAAAATCATAACCCACTCCCCGCCGCCCCAGGCACCGGTGGCTCATGCCTGTAATCCTAGCTTCTCAGGAGGCAGAGATCAGGAGGATGGAGGTTTGAAGTCAGCCCAGAGAAATACTTTATGAGACCCTATCTTGAAAAAATCCATCACAAAAAAAGGACAGATGGAGTGGCTCAAAGTGTAGAACCTGAGTTCAGACTCCAGTACTGGGGGGAAAAAATAAAATCATAAAACAGGCTGAGCACATGGCTCAATTGGTAGACTGCCTGCCTAGCAAGCACGAGAGTTCAAACCCCAGTACCACCCACCCCCCAAAAAAGCATAAAACAGAGTGCTTAAGATTACTGGAGAAAAATTGTTGTCCTAATATGTCTAAAAACACAAGTATTTCTTTGTTAGTGGGATTGGGGTTTGAACTCAGGGCTTCATGTTTGCGAAGCAGGTGCTCTATTGCTTGAAAAATACCTCCAGTCCATTTTGCTCTGGTTATTTTGAGATGGGATCTAACAAACTATTTGTTGGGACTGACCTCAAACCTCAATCCTCCCAATCTCAGCTTCCCAAGTAGCTAGGATTACAGGTGTAAACTACTGATGCCCAGCTACAAATATGTTTCTTAACATTAACAAGACTGGCAAAGTAAAGTTAAATTTTCCTTTTTTAAAGGCTTCGGGACATTGTTGCTCAGCTTTAATAAGACATTAAGCTGGGGAGGGGCTCTTAATTTTCTTATCTCTTTCCCCTAACACTTTTTCTTTTTCTGGTTCTGGGGAAGGAACCCAGGGCTTCACACATGCTAGACAGGCACTCTACCACTGAGCTATACCCTCAGCCCACTTCTCACATCAGCAAACAACTGAAGATAAGGAATACAGAAGTGAGAACAGGTCATCACCGTTTGGTCATTCAAGCTCTGTTAGGCAGAGCTATCCAACCAAAGGCAGCTGCATCACAGGAGGATCTGAAATAGTGAGTACCATCAGGTGCTGCTTAACAGTACTAAATACCATGATTTTGAAAGTTATGAGAATAAGTCATCTCAGTATTTGCAATAACTACAATGTGATACAAAAACATCTGCAATTTCTATTTTTTTTTTTTTTTGGCAGCATTGGGGTTTGAACTCAAGGCCTCATGCTTGCTAAGTAGGCACTCTTTTGCTTGAATCACTCTGCCAGCCTTTTTTTTTTGAGATAGGACTCATGAACTATTTGCCTGGGGCTGGCTTTGAACCGAAATCCTCCTGACCTTGCCCTCCTGAGCAGGTAGGATTACAGGAGTGAGCACCCGTGCCTGGCATGTGATTTCTATTTTTGACAAAGCCAAAGGTAATGAACTACTTCCAACTATATAGAAAATAAAGATATTTTTTCCCATCTAAGTTTATGAATCCCTGAGTTCTGAATCCCAGGTTAAGAGGCTTCATCTTTTTTGTTGTTGTTTTTTGGTGGTACTGGAGTTGGAACTCAACTTGCTAGGCAGGTGATCTACCTCTTGAACCACACCTCCAGTCCAAAAGCCTTCATCTTAGAAAAATGTCTGGCACATATTAAGTATTGATCGTTGTCATCATCATCATTATCTTATTATTTCAGGCCAGGGGACTCCCAGGCCTTTGGAATCAGATGGACTCAGTTCCACACTCAATTACAGTGTGACTGAGCCCAACTTCTACACCTCCCTGACTCTGTTTCTTCCTAACAGCAGAACAGCTAGATGGTAGAGCTGTGAGTACTTTGAAACCTATAATCTGGGGTACTTCTGAGTTACTACTGCTTTAATTTTGGGGGCGGAGGGTTGTGAGGCCTTCTTAAAACCTGCCCCTCTGTGTCACCTACATTGTGATCTCTCCCTGCATTCCAACACTTGACCTTCAAGCCCTGTTACTATCTTACCTGTAACAGACACTCAGACTGAATTTGAATGGACCCATGGATGGCCCAAGTAGTGTAAGTGTGTGTTAACTGTCAGCATTTAAAATTTCACATACAAATTGAGATCTCCAGCTTCTCTAGGACTTGCCTAGCTCTGATGAGCCCATTCTACCTTCACACTGAACACCGAATAGCCAAGAGAGGATTGGCAGCTGCTTCCTTCAAGGCGGACAGACTCCAGCTCTCCAGACCTTGCCTCTCTTGTGAATTAATAGGCTCCAAATTTGTGACAATCACTTCACCTCTCTGGCTTCATCCTTTGCCTCAGGTCTGCATACCTTGTATTGTCTGTGTCCCTTCAATAACCTGTGCTGCACCCTCCTTTACCATTTTTATGTCTCCATAGCTTCCCCAAGGCACTCTGGAGAAACCCAATAAACTCTAATAGAACCTTTATCAGTGTTTGGTAGACACAGATCTGTCTCCACCATCCTTATTTCATTAAGTGCCTCTTCTGAGTTGGCGCAGGATACAGAGGGAGAACCCAGTCAGCCCCACTCTCCCTGCAATCCCACTCGCATACATAGAGAGAAACCAATACAAACTGCCTGCCACTCACTCCCTAAAGGGGACTGGGAACCTAATAACTACAATGGTCTCTTTACTCCATGCCCCAGCACCTGATAGGGCTAGGCAGTTAGGGGCACAATAAATGAGTTTCTATTTTAAAGGGTTTTATGAACATAGAAGTTCTACATATGTCAAGGCAACAGTGGGTTATTAAATCAAAGGAGGATGTGTCATATTCCAGTGAGGGCCTCTGCTAATTTTTCTGTGTATTCTTCTATTTTTTTTTATATGCAGATAGTCTACATACAATTTTGCAAATTGCATTGTTTTTTCCATTCTATTACAATGCCAAGCAATACATGGAAATTGCTTAGAACAAAGACTAGCAGTTTACTTTTTTCCTTTTTTTTTTTTTAACCATATCAGGGACAGCTTAATTGGTATATGCAGGGTATCTTTTTCATTGTCCCCAATCTCAGTGTAGGGAGGTCCCTACAGGAACTCCATCTTGGGGAAAAAAAGATGAGTGTGCCTACCCTGAAGGTAGAAATGGTTGATTTCGTAGAAATCAAGGGGAAAAGATATGCTGCTTTCGAGAGGGAGGCTAATAGGCACCTGCTTCTCCTTTACCTAATGCTCATTGGTTGCATCCAACCATCTAAGATAGGGGCAGGGCCCAGACCAGGACTGGAGGCCCACCCAGTACCTGGTCCATGCCTGGGGCTTCTGAGCACTGCCAGCCAAGTGCTCTCCTGCCTACAGGGCCTGGTCTGGCCTCCCTAGTGGATGGGGGAGGTGCTGCTCGGGCCTGATGTTGATCTCTCCTGACAGCTGCTCCTATGGTTGGCAGAATGGCAGGCAGTGGGGGAAGGGACCAGATTTAAAGATCCAGCTGCCCCGCCTCCTGCCTCCCGCTATCTTCTTCTTGGTACATGAACACCACTAGGATTCATGTCTGCTCCCACCTCATAGGCCACCTGGAAGACCAGTACCCCCCACCATGAGATTTCGACGCCTGACTCCTGGTTACTTCCGGGTGCTACAGGTAAGTACCCCTAATTGTTGGTTTCTGGCACTACTGACCTCTTCCTCCTCCTACCATGAATATGTTAACACCCCCCAACATCAGGTTGTGCCGCCTGACTAGCCAGGGCCCAGAAAGGCAGTGAAGCGAGAGTGATTGGGGTGGAATCTCCCTGGGGCAGCAATGGAATCCATGTCTCCTTCTCCCAGTTTTGTCTTCTTAGCTCCTTCCTGCCTAGAAGTCTCAACTGACCCTTCAGGTACACCCTGTTCACCTCCAAGATGCAGGTGGCTGGCGAGCTGAAGACAGAGCCCCGGAGTCCACTGCCTGGAGTTGTGGCTGCACTGCTTGCTGTCCTTGGGCTGAGTGGCTCCTGCTATGCTGTATGGAAGATGGTGGGTCAGCGGCAGCCGCCACAGGCCCCACAATGAGGCAGACAGCCTCTCACCTGAGGTAGGTGACTGCAATCTCACAAACTCTCTTCTTTTCTGGGGATCCAGTCCCTCCCCTCATTGGGAGCAGGATGCACTAGACCTGATCCTACTTCCCCAATTCAACACTGCACCTGGGTTCTAGCTCAGATGTTAGGACCCAGAAGGAAGGCAGAGATACGGGTACCAAAGCTGACCCAAGTAAAGAGGAGACACCCTGCCCCTGTACAAAGAAAGTAGCAGAGAAATCCTGATAGGCCAGAGTTTGTGGAATTGGCCTAGAAGTTAAGCCATAAGCCCTCTTTGTCCAGTTCCTTTATTGGGGGGAAGGCACCCAAAAGAGGTCAGGGCCCAGACAGGTTGACAGACTCTCTCCCAGCCTAGTCCTTGCACCACTGTCCATGGGCAGCTCCTCTGCCCTGCATCCTCAGGCCATGTCAGGTAGACGTGTCCATCTTAGGGCCCTCAGTGGACACTTCTGTGGGCATTGCCAGTCGCTTGGGCGGCATATAGGAGCCCATGCCCGCTGCCCTCTCTGCCTCTTCCTGACTGTAGGGCTCGATGGTCAACTGCTTCAGCCTGGGAGAAAGAAGAATAGGAGTTGGGAACTGACCAGGTGCAAGCCCTGCCTATCGGGTCCCCATCTACCAACACTCTTCTTACTTCTCATACCTTTTCTTGTGATCTTTGGATCGGAAATGGGTCTTCAGGTTGGCGGAGTCGATGAAGTATCTTCTGCAGGAATGAGAGGTGAGAAGAGTGAGGAATTGATACCTCTCAGGTACGCCTACCTCCCTGACCCTAGCACATTCCCCGACGCCTGGCTCCCTGCCTGAAGGGATGGGAGGCGGGATGACTCACAGGTCCCAAGACAGGAGACACTGCACGGCCTGTGGTTTGGACCTCAAAATCCCGGGCCAGCACAACAGACCCTCTTCCGCCCTGGGTTGGACTCACGCGCAGGCCAGACAGCGATGCAGACCGCCCCCTGGCAGGTCAGGGTCGGGTTCGGCTTCCGGGTCCGGCTTGGGCCTCGCGGGACCCTGCGGCCGCAGCTCGCGGTGAATTTCATCCAGATCCGGCCGTCGCCGCTTAGCCTTCATCTGGCGGGCTAAGGAGTGCGCTCGGTGCGCGCCTGTCCGGCGAGAGCGAGCCATGGCCAGTGACAGCAGGGCTAAAGACCGACTAGAGGGAACCACGCGGGCCTGTGCTTCCGAACCGCTGGATGACGTCACGATAACGCCCGGGGGCGGAGCCGGACCACCTCTGATGACGTTGCTCGCAGCCCGGCGGTTCGAGCGCCCCCAGGCGACGGCCCGATGAAGCTTGATCACGGAGCCTACGCGTCGCTGGGGAACCCCGGGGCATCAGGGCCATTTCTGTTGCCGGTCCCAAAGCGACCTCATTTTCCCTTCCCGATTCGCACACCTTAAACTCTGCAGTGGAAATAAGATGCTGCAAGCATCTTTGGAAGGCACTATGTTTGTGACACGAATAAATTAATATAGGAATGAGAGTAAGTTTGGAATCCCCGCCCCAACAGGGCTTCCTGAGATACCTCCAGTCCCTAATACTGAGCCCCCTTCTCTCTAGGTACCGGTGGTTCATGCCTGTAATCCTAGTTACTTGGGAGACAGAGATCAGGAGGATCGCAGTTCAAGGCCAGCCGGGTTTGTGAGACGCTATCTCAAAATACCCAACACAAAAAAAGGGCTGGTGGAGTGGCTGAAATGGTAGAGCACCTACCTAGCAAGCATGAGGCTGAATTCAAACCCCAGTACCACACAGAAAAAAAAGCTTCCCAGGTAGTCCCCTGGGTCTTCGCCCTCCCTGGACCGCCAGTCAAATCCATGCTGTGTGCATGGAATTCTTTCCCAAAGAGATCGACTCCTTTTGCAAGAAGAAGAGGTATTCATAGAAAGACCCCCATCTCTGCCTTCTTTTTTGAGCCTGTACGTCCAGGGAAGGGCTGGAAGGAAAAGGAAAGGGAATTAGATGTGTTGTGCTCAGGATAGGGTTGGTGTTGTCTCATTCATTGGGTCTGGTGCCTCACAGGCAACCAGAGCCAACTCCTCTGGACAGGGCTAAAGAAACTCAGCAATAATTCAGGAACTCCAGCTCTTTGGAACCTGTTGCCAGGAAACAAGGAGACAGGCACATGCATCCCTGGGGAGAGGAATAAGTTTCCAGGCCAGACAAAGCAGTGAAATGTAAGCCCAAGGTGCCAACTTGGGACTTGGGGGACTTTCCACTCCACACAGAGGCTGGGTGGGGACACAGGGAGGCACCTTGCTGAGGGCAGAGCTGGTATGGCTACAGTCCCAAGGGGGCACTAGTGTGGGTCTTAGACCCAAAGACTTTGTGAATGGAAGAGAACTTCTCTGCAGTCATTCTAAGAGATGGACAACCTCAAGAATTCCAAGGCAAGGTGGCCTCTCCATAATGAGATGTCTTCATTATTCTTGTCCAATCTGGGTCAAGACAAGTGGCTAAGGTGGCACATACCTTCCCCCACTCAGACTCACAGGTCTATGAGTGTTCTCTTTGGATCAGGTTCACCTGCCAGCTCAGCACTGTGCCAGCTGAGGAGGTTAGTGCATCTTTAATGAAGTCACCTGATCTCTGGGACAGGCTCTTGGCCCCACCAACTACCTGGAGCCAGAGCTGCTGGTGCCCACTGAGCCACCACCTTCAGTGCCTAGGTGCCAGGCCCCTTTCCCCTGCAGCCATGAACCAGGCCTTCTGGAAAACCTACAAGTCTAAAGTGCTACAGACCCTGAGTGGGGAATCTGAGGAAGATCTGGCAGAGAAGGTGGGTACCCTCCATGCTTGCCTGGAGGGCATGGGCAGAGGGACAGCAGGAGTGAGAGGTACAAAGAGGGTAAAAGGTAGATTCATTCGTGCAGAAGCTGTGGGCATATTCAGAAACAGCAGACAGCATGGCGCAGGATAGGAGAACCAGTCAGTCAAGAAAACTGAGGAAGAATAGAAGACTTGGGAAGAATAGAAGACAGGAGGAGTGGCCACTGTCTCTGAACCTCAAGGGCTGCCACATGGAGCAGATTATTCTAGGACTGGTGGGCAGTAGCCACATGGGTCCACTTAGCTTGGCACAACTTTCTAATGGGCAGAGCTGAGCAGAAGTGGGATGGGTGGCTTGGAGAAGTAGTGAGTCCCCATTTACTGGAGGTTAGGGGGAGTGGCACTTGCACGCTGCATGTCACTGTGGCTGTATTGCATCAAAGCCATACTTAGACCATGGTTTTTGTTTTGTTTTGTTTTTTCTGACTTCAAAGGAAAAAAAGGCTTTGGAACTGGGAACAATCTTATGTCTAGAAGTTGAGATAAGTGGCAGTCACATAAATAGATGTGGCAGGAGCAGGAACTTGCTCTGTTGGTGTAGGTGGGTGTGAATAAGTGAATGTCTAGACAGGCTGTGTCCCAAACTGGGCTTGTGTGGAAGTGTCTGTGGGTAGCTGCTGGGTTTGGAGTCCATGAGGAATTCCCTGTGAAGGTGTATGTGCATCTGTGAACTTGATCTAGATATTTTTGGTTTCAAGTGCAGGCATTTGCAGGTGCTTGTTTGTATGGTGGGTGGGTGTGTCTGCGTGGGTGGAGGGCCTTTGTGCAGTTGTATACATTCACAGGTCTATGAGTGTTCTTGTATAAGTGCCTTATAGCACATCTACAGGTGAAAAGCTGTAGCCATGTGGAGGCATGATCATGTACACATGTGTCTCTGTCGGCATTCACCTTTGTCCACATGTTTTTGAGTGTCTAGATGTGTCTGAGTGGGCAGTTTTGTGTGCTCAAGGGTATTTGCAGGGATTTACTATACAGGTGTGTATGTAACTGGTGGCTTTGTGTAGAGATGTACCAGTATGCATTTCTATGAGCCCTTGTGGAGGATGAGGTGTATAGCTGTGTAGTCCTGTGGGCTCTGGGTGCCTGGTCTGTGTGTACCAGGCTAGCAATGGGGGAGGGAGGTTCCACTTCTCTGGGTCTTTTGTCCCAGAGGGAGAGCCCAGCCTTAGTGGAGTCTGAGACTGCAGAACCCATGGAGGAAGCCTTCAACCCCATGTCACAACTGGCCCGCAGGGTAAGTTCTCCTTTCTTCACCCTAACCCTGGGGAGCCCAGCAGAGGCTGCCTTGGAGTCCTTGGAGACTGTGCCCAGTCCTTCCCTGACTCCCAGCCCATCCCTCCTAGGTTCAAGGGGTTGGTGTGAAAGGCTGGCTGACAATGTCATCTCTGTTTAACAAAGAAGATGAAGACAAACTGCTGCCACAGGAGCCCTGTGTTGACCAGTATGCGTGTACTTAGGGGTTGGTGCTGGAAGGGGGTTGGGGTCCCTCTTCTGCCATGTTAGTTCCTTTTGCTCTGTTCATCTGTCTTTCTAACCATGGATAACTGGGGAGGGACAGCCCTTGGCTGTTTCTCTTAGCAGGATGCAGCAGGCTTATCTAGGAGATGAGATTAGATCTCAGGGAAATTTACCAGCTATTGGGAGTGAGGCCCTGGAGGAGTTCTATGTTTTGCAGTACTAGGGTTTGAAGTCAGTGCCCCACTCACTGTGAGGTATTTATGGGCTGTTTCTCCCCATTCACTGGGGAGGGGCCATCTCCCTAGAATCCTGCAGCAGAGGAGAGGACCTTCAGGAGTTTGCACCAGAGGGTGGCCCAGAATAATGGTTCCCACATATTGTCTTAAAGTCTCACTCTCCAAAGGAGTTTGTGACCAATACAAATCCTTCCTTCAGAGATTCAGATCCACTAGTGTGGTGGGGATCCCAGAGGACCTGGAAGCACAGCAGTTTGGGAACCACTGTTTTAGGTCTTTGATGCTGAGTTAAGGCGTCAGACCCAGGGCCTCAGACTCCCTCCAGGCTCTATCTCTGGCACACATTCCCTCTGTCCATCTGCCCTTTCCTCCAGTACACACACACACACACACACACACACACACACAATTCTAAGCTAGAGTCACTCTTCTCCCACCCCCTATCTCTCCTGCATCAGGGCTGTCTTCCTCTCCATACTCATCCTCTCTCCCTCCCAGTCTTAGTCCTCTAAGGATTATTCCAGATTTGAGGCTTCTACTTCAACCTGCATCGCTCCTCCTTGCCTGCCATCCCCCACCTCCACCCCATCTGGGGTCTATCAAGCCTCACTCCTAAACTTCTGATCTAGGATTTTTCTCCCCCATCTTTCTCCAGTATTCCTAGTTCCCCTTTCCCTCAATCTTTTCCCAGCTCCGCCTCTTTTCCCTAGGGTTTCCCTCGTGTGGTCTAAACAAACCCAACACGCCTGGGGTCCCACTCCTCTGCTTTGCACTCTGGGCTCCCCCGCCAGGGTCCGCCCCAGCTTCCCATTGTTGGTGACTCGTTTTCCTGCTCTGGCCTTCTCCCACCCCCTCAGCGTCCACTCTCAAAACTCCCGGCCCTGTTCTCTCCTCAGGGATCCTGATCACCTCTTCCCAGACATTTCACTGAATCCCCTGACCCAGTCCCACTCCGGCCTTCTTTCCTAGTGCCTCTGAGCCCTTCCCTTGCCTGCACATCCTGACCTCTCTCTGACTCCTGCAGCCCCACTGCTTGTCCCTTGTCCTGACCTCCTGTCCATTGTCTCTCTCTCTGGAACCCGGGCCAGCTTGCTGACCTCCCCCCCATCTCCCGCAGTCCGCTGGCAGCGCGGCCACCCTCTCAGGCGGCGGCGGCGGAGGCGGAGCCGCGCGGGCCGGGATTCTGGGACGCGTTCGCCAGCAGGTGGCAGCAGCAGCAGGCGGCCGCGGCGTCCCTGCTGCGCGGCGCCGATCCCACACGGAAAGCGGACCCCGAGCCCGGAGACGAGCCCTTGGAGGAACCAGCCGAGTGTCCCGGGCCGCGAGAGACGGATCTAGCGGCCGGCTTCAAGTGGGGTTTCCTCACCCACAAACTGGCGGAGATGAAGGTGAAGGCCGCGCCCAAGGGTGACTAGTCGTCCAGCAGAACTGGCGCGCAATCCTCCTCAACCCCCTCCACCCCCCATAAAATACCCCGGCCCGACTGACTCCCTCGTGTAACCGTGTGTTTTGTCTGGACAATAGGGAAAGCCACTTTTGGATGGGCGACATCAGGTGGGGACTAGCTGGAGGGATCCTCATCTCCTTCCCCAACAAACGTATGGGGGAGGGTGGATGACCAGAGAGCTCAGGTGTCAGCGTGGATGGTGTTAGGTTTAAGGTACAAGTTTTTGGGAAGCGGAGTAGCCCCAGAGAACAGGCTCCATCGCCCTGTCCAGCCGTATTTAATTCAACAAACGTCTGTGCCTCTACTATGTGTGCAGCTCCTGTACTAACGGGAGAACTCACTTCCAGCGGGACCCATGCAAGGTGACCAATTGAAGCATAAAAACAGGGTGGCACATAGGAGCTCAGAGGAGGTGAGGCCGACTAGGGGATTCCGGTTTCCTGAAGAAGAACATTAGGTGATCTTGGGATGGGTGTTGAAAATGGGGAGTGTAACCGGGCTAAGGGAGGAAAATGAACAAAGGCTTAGAGGTGGAAACTGTGAGCAAAATAGGCGACCTGTGTGTCCTTGAAGGAAAGCGAGACAGTAGCAAGTTGTGAAGTTTCTGGTTGGCAAAATCCTAGTTTGAAGTTTGTTAGTGCCATCAACTTTAGATTTTAGAAGGGCCCATGGCCTTCCTAGTGACCACAAGGGGCAGCAAATCTCCGGGAATAGGCTCCATTTAGGGGTCTATGGACCCCATATTTCTGGGGCAGATCCCTTCCCAGGCCTTCCAGTTACTCCCAGCTACCAGTTCTAGTCTGGATCGACCCTCTGGTCATAGGCCGAGACGACCCGCAATAGTGTTATTCAAAGCAGCTATTGTTTATTAAGCACTTTCTATATTCCAGGCCCTTTGCCTGGCAGGTTTACAACTATTTCAAAATGTTTTTATTATCTGCTTTCCTTTCCCCCTTTCAAAACTGAGGGTTGTAGCTTTGGTCCAGAGAGGTTAAGTGTTGCCAGCCTAGAATCCACACTCCAAAACCCACTCAAACCTGCTCGCCCCCTTCAACATCTGCCCACTAAACTCACGACTCATTTAAGTAACGTTTCAGCTTTATTCAGTAGGCTTGCTGTCTTCTCCCACCCCAGCCACCACTCCTCAGACCCGGCCTTTAACAGGTGCCACAGTCCCGCTCTGGTCCCTTCCGTCTGGCCTGAGCCTGGTTCATTTTGTTCCACCTCCCGAAGGTTCAGATGAGAAACACCAAGATCCAGGGAAGGGCTGGCCCAAAGGCGCCGAGCCGGTGCACGGAGCCAGCCCCGCGCTCCGGAACTCTCTCCCGGGGAGCCGCCTTCGCAGTGGCGGTGGTCACACCTCGGACTCCCGCGGCGGGGCGCGGGCGCGCTGGCAGCCATACAACCACTGGATGACACGCGCATTGCGCTCCACCACGGACACCGTGGGCCGCCCGTCCCGCGTGGATCCCGCCGCCTCCGAGCCGCCGCCAGCTGCACAGTCCCGGGCGCCAGCGCCCCCGTCGCTGGATGTCCAGTCGCTGGTGTCCCCGGAGCCCGGCGGCAGCGAAGTTCCGGTCTGGGGGCTGGCGTCAGTGCCCCAGCTCTGCGGGGAGAAGCGCTCGGCGCCCAGCACCTCCACCAGCGCGCGCTCTAGGCCGCAGTAGTTAAAGAAGCGCTCCTTCTCCGACAGGGGCAGCGAGCACGTGGGGCACAGCGCCCTCTTTCTTGCGGCCTCTGGGGCATCTTGGGGCGCAGCCCAACTCCCAGGAGCTGCGGGTCGCTCTGTGGGGTCCGGGCTGCTCGGGGCAGCGTCCCGAGGGGCGCCCAGGAAGAGGCGCCGTACCAGCCCCTGGCCCTTGGCGTTCTCCTTGTTCACCGAAGCCTTGCAGTCCCGCTTCTGGCGGTAGAAGATGAGCGAGTCGGGCCTTGGCTGCCGCCTGCCGCTGCCCCGACGGGCGGGTCCGGGCGTCCTGGGTGAGGCAGGGAGACCTAGCTCATTGCAGGGGTGCGGGGTGAGCGGTCCGGGTCCCCCGCGTAGGGCTGGCTCCTGGCGCCTCACTATCACCTGGTGGGTCTTGACATACTTGGCTTTATCTGCCTCCAACCTCTCCACAGCGCTAGGGGTCCGTCCCCCAGAGAGGGTGGAGGGAGAGGACAGAAGCATCTTAGCAGAGATAGGCAGGACAGTGCCCCATAAGCCCCTGGAGATACCCAGTTAGCCGAGGACCCAAGAACAATTGACTGGAACCTCCTAGGGCCTACAAGGAGAGAGGAATAGTCAAAGAGAGGGTAGGTGATGTCACTGTCCCACTCCTGTAGGGGTTTCTGGGTATAGGGTGAGTTAACCCTCCACTCCAACCCCATCCAAGTCAGTCCAGCCTTCCTTCAGGGAGCAGAGTTTCAGGCCACCCCCTTCCCTGTCCTTCAGAGGCATTGGGTGGGGGCTGTCTGGCTACCCAGAAACATGTACCCCTTTGAGGGTACCCCAACTTGGCCACAGGGCCATGCAAGCAGATATGGGCAAGTAGGACACTTAGAAAGGGAAATGGGGTTGGCCCAGCCAATTCCCGAAAGTGGCCTTGACCGGAAAAAATACCTCTTCCCAACCCAGCAGCTTTAAACCCAAGACAAGGAGGCTCCCCAGCCACAGGCTGGCTCCAGTAGGGCCCACCCTTCCCACTCCAAGCATCAAGGTCATGGACATAACCACAGGGTAGGAGCCTCCAGTAACTGCAGCCAACTGCCCTGCCCAGGCCCAGCAGGGCCATCCAGGAAAGAGAGGGAGGTGGTCTCCAGGTCATGTCAGCCAGCTACTGCCAGCCACTCTGTGCCTCTGCCAAGAGGATTCCAGAAAACCTAACTGTAAACATCACCTTGTCCCACCCCTATACTTCCATTTCCTAGGCCAGGAAACTGGCTTAGAGAGAGAGGAGGGGGCTTGTTCAGGTCCTTCTGAGAGTTGGGAACCTGGCTGGAACCCAGGCTCTTGCCTTGCTGCTACATCTAATTCCAATTGGATCAGATCTCTCACTTGCCTATCAAAACTTTTCTCTCTCTCTCTCTTTTTTTTTTTTTTCCAGTACTGGAGTTTGAACTGAGGACGTACTTTTTAAGCCACTCTACCATCCCTTTTTTTTGTAAAGGGTTTTTTCGAGATAGGGTCTCATGAACTATTTGCTTGTGCTGGCTTCGAACCTCTTGATTTCTGCCTCCTGAGTAGCTAGGATTACAGGTTTGAGCCACTAGTGCCCAACTCAATCTGGTATTTTGCCTCTGCTACTAGAAAACCAAGTATGAGCCCCTGGCCTCACTAAAACGTTCCTCCCACTGACTCTTCCCTATAACCTGCATGCCCTGAAATCTGCCCTCAGGGTCCCTGACCCCTTCTCATCCTGAGACCTCTAACCCTTCTTCTCCTCCACAGCCCTTGTGTTAGGGAAAGGGACAGGAAGGGCTGTAAATCAAGAGCTGACAGTTTCCTGGGCAGTTAACAGAATGGGCCACCCACATGGCTTAGCATACCCCCACCACACCCCTGTCCCCCAACTTCCTCAATCCCCATTCAGCTGAGACACATTGGTGCTGGGGACTGAGGGGACCTCGGATCTGGAAGCAACAAAGAACAGACTGGTCAAGGATGGGGGTAAAGAGGGGCCCCCATGGAGGCCCTTAGAGAACCTGCCAACCTCACCCCCAACTTGTGCAGCTTGCCTCCTCCCTCCCCCCAGTATCCCCTTGTATATTGTGTGTGTGGTAAGTCTGGCCAGAGACAGTGGGTGACTGGAACCCAGACAGCGAGGACAGCCTGGTAGTGTCCTCCCCCCTTCTCCCAGGGACTGTTCTGAGCAGTGGGTCAAATTCCAAGGTCCCAGGAGGGCACTGAGCTTGTCTGACCTGATGTCCCCTCCTCCTCTCCCCAACCCTGGGTAGGGAGGCTATAAAAAGTCTCTAAACACAAGGACCAAAATAGTCTAATGCCTCCTGCTTTCTGTTGCTAGCTTTGATGTCCAACCACAGACAACTCACCCTAGAAGCCTGGCAGCTGTCTTTGTCCCCATCTGTCCCATTACCTACCCTCTCCCAGTCCTGAAGTAAGTGATCCAAACTTTGTCAGAGGCTTCCGCTCTGGACATGGGCTGGCCTCTAGACACAGTGGCTTGGCACCAGCCTCTCCCACCCTGGGCTCCTAAGTGCCCTCCCACTCCGGGTCCCCTGGACTCAGGATACACTCACCTTTGTGTGGGAAGGCTGAATTGCAGGGGTCCTTGGTCAGGTCTAGACTGACGGTAGGAGGAACAGCAGGGACTAGAAGTAACTTTGGTGGCAGCCAAACCTCACAGGAAAAGCAAAGAGCCTCCACCCGCCCCCCCCCCCAGATTAACCCTTCCTGACCCAGAGCCTCGCCTCTGTTAACTCTTTCCTGGTCAGGTCTCCGCACCGAGAGGGACAGTGAGCCAGGTCCAGCTCCTTTATTTTACAGATGATCAAACATGCCCTGCCACATTAAATGGTTTGCACTGCAGGCACCTGGAACTTGGGGTAGAGCCAGGACCCCAACAATGCCTCCTAATCCCCAGGCTCCCTCCAGAAGCCTGGGGTGTCAAATGCTCTGTCAGCGAATGGGAAGGCAGAGCAGGGCACTAGTGGACTTGAGTTTTTCCCTTTGTGGCAGGTTTAGTCCTGTCCTGGTCCTGGTATTGGATGATAGCAAGTCTGCTCTCCCTAGGGGTGAGTCCAGGAATCTGTGGGCTACAGCTGGGTGCAGTGGTGCTGCTGCTGTGCAGGCAGCCTGTTCCAGCAAAACTTGCAGAGAGGGTCATGCAGGAGCCCATGGGAGGGGCCCCTGCCCAAGATGCCCTGATGGCAAATGGGTTGGCTGGGAAGAGGGTGATGAAGGGAGGTTTCTGGGGCTAAGCCTCTGTCCTTTGGTTTCCTAACAGGGAATTGGTAGAGCTGGGACAGTCTCTTGTCTGAGGTCTCCTGTCTCAAGGAGAAGCCCTAGCCGCAGGGGAGCTCCTCCCCCTCCTTTGGCACCCAGAGTTCAAAGACCAGCACTGCTGCCAAGTGGTCCCTGCCCTCCTCTAGCAGGCCACTTAGCATAAAAGTCCCCTCCCTCCCTTCTAGCACTTCTTAATGTTTGCAAAGCAGGTTCACTTCTGTGCTCTCTGATCTCCCTTGACCCCCTACGGACCCTAGATGGGGCCCAGCAGGAACACAGCCCCACTTAGTGTGGAAGGAAAAGAGAAGAGGAGAAGGAGAGGCCTGCGCAGAGTCTACCTCCAAATCTGTTCTTTCCACTCCACCTCTGCCTATTGGGCAAGGTCAAAAGTCTGAAAACCCAGCTGGGCGCCAGTGGCTCACACCTGTAATCCTAGCTACAGGAGGATTGCAGTTCAAAGCCAGTCTAGGCAAATAGTTCGGTGAGGCCCTATCTTGAGAAAACCCTTTGCAAAGAAGGGCTGGTGGAGTGGCTCAAGGTGTAGGCCCTGAGTTGAAGCCCCCAGTATTGGGAAAAAAAAAAAAAAGTCTGAAAACCCATGGCAATTGCCTGCTAAGAGTTTATTGCTGTGCCTTGTTAAAGGGAGGTTCCTGTTGGGTTCTGTCTTGTTTTTTTTATATTGTGTTGCTGCAGCACTTTACAAAATGCTTTTAGGTACATTGTCACAATCCTGAGGATAATCGTTGAGGTATAGGTTTTATGAGTTTTCTCATTTACAGCTGAAGAGATTGACTTCTCCAAGCTCACACAATGAAAAGGAGTACCTGTTAGCGAGAGCATGGCGTTTTGTATGTCGGGATGTTCTAATTACTTCACACAATGAATAACATAGTTAGTCCTCAAAATAATTCAGAAGGAAATGATTCCTTTCTTCTCTGAATCGAAGAGATACAGGTGGGAAGCAGGTCAATAGTTCTGATGACTGGGCACAAAAGGGTTAAGTATGGGCCGGCTGGGCAGGGCCCAGCTGGGATGCTCTCAATGGCAGGAAACCTGGCCTGCCAGAGGGAGGATGGGGCTGTGGTGTCTGACTGAGCCCCCCCCCCATCCCTTTGGTCTTAAAGAAGCATCCGGGTTGGGTGTAAGGGCAGGCAGGGGCCCCTTCACAGCTCTGTTTTGGGGATCCAGGACAGATGATAGACTACAGGAAGAGGGGACCCAGGGGGCAACACAGGTGTTGCCCTGTCAGGGTGACTTGTCCATTCCTTGAAGCTTCAGAAGTGGCCTAGCTCCCCTCAGTAGTGCTCAGTGAAAGAGAAGACAGCCCTGCTCTGAGAGCCCTAGTCAGAGGTGGTAACACAGCTCTGCCCTCAGGGCTCTCACTGGGGAAGGGGGAGGGCTTGAGATCCTTGCTCCCTGGAGCTCCCTGTTCCAGGGATAACCATGTCCTGTCCCTGGATGCCAAAGGACACAGTCCTGGGAGACAGGCACAGGCTCAGGATCACACAGGCAGAGCAGGGCCATGGGGGAGAGGGCAAATGGGTGTGCTTATTGGTTGGGGGCTTAAAGGGGGAGAGGAGAGGAGGGGGTAAAGGATGGGGGAGAGACGGGCTCTTCTCTTTGTCTGCTGGCCTCATCTCTAGCCACACTTGGCCAGAGCTGGATCTTCTCTCTTTCTGGTCATGGGTCCCCAGAGAGATTCTTAAAGTGGCTCCTTCTGGCCCTAGAGCCAAGACCTCAGGCAGGGGGAGGCCAAGTCTGAGGGCTGTTTCCTTCCTATTTCCGACCTCGTTCCCGGATCACCTTGATGGGCTGGGAATTGGCTTGAGTCAGAACAGGCTCCTCTCAGGAGAAGGTGGGGGAGGACACTCTGGTCAGTGTTGGGAATAATGAGACTGACCATTGTGATCAGACCTCAGACCCCACACCCACATTACCCCAGAGGAGACCTGTGTCTCCTCCCTCACCAGTCAGCCATATCCCCTAGGCCAGGCCACAGCCTTTATTCTAATCCTACCCTACCATTCACTGTGTAGAGTCTAAGCAAGGACTAAAGGACTGGAGGTGTGGTTCAAGTGGTACAGTGCCTGCTTTGCAAGCTGGAAGCCCTGAGTTCAAGACCCAGTCTCACCCCAAAAAAAGTAAATATATAATTGATTAAAAAAAAAAAAAAGCCAGGCACCAGTAGCTCATGCCTACCTACTCAGGAGGCAGAGATCAGGAAGATCATGGTTCGAAGCCAGCCAGTTCACAAGACCCTGTCTCTAGAATATCCATCACAAAAAAAGAGCTGGTGGAGTTTCTCAAGGTGTAGGCCCTGAGTTCAAGCTGCAGTACCGCAAAGAAAAAAAAAAAAAGAGAACTTAACATCTCTGTCCTTCCCTGTCAACCTGGAATGAGAAAACCTCTTGTGATGGGGTAGGGGTGGGGCTAGGCAAGCACTTTGCACCTCAGGGTGCTCAGAGTGGACTTCTGCCCTGGAGGATACCTTTCTGACACCTCTGACCTATAACCCCCCCCAGCTGCTGGCCGCAAATCATTCGGAGAACACCTGTGCTGAGCGGCAGGGTCAGTAGACGGGGTCAGGCAAGGATTCTTGCTCAGGAGGCTCAGGAGCTCAGCCCGGGGGTGGCAGTGAAGTGAAGGACTTTATGCTGCTCTGACAGAGAGATGAACAAAGCAGATGACACGGGAGGGGCTGGCAGGGGACGATTTGTTCTGCTGATGAGGGGTGGTTCTCTTCAAAGAGAAGGGAGGAGGATCAGATCTGGGCCGGAGGGGATTTCTGATTGGGATGCGGGCAGAGACTTGGGCCCAGAGGACAGCAGGAGCTGGGGTCTCCGTGAAGGCAGGAGGCTAGGGAGGGGTGGCCAAGAGGCAGCAGAAGCTCTGGAGGCTTAGAGAGAAGATGGGGTGCAGAGAGAAGGGTGCTCAAGAGAGGGCTGGGGCTGCACCGCATGGGCAGAGCCCCCTCTCTGGGCTTAGAGCAGCAGCTCCCCTATAATTCAGAGTTTTCCGTTTTAGGAAAGAATCGTAGCCACAACAATGGCCAGGCCCTGGCGCCTGCCCCTCGGAGGGGTGCGGCTGTGAGCAGAGCCAGGCCCCAGCACGGCTGTCCCAGATGCCACAGTGGGGGAGGGGGGAGGTAGGAGAGGAAGATGCCAGTAGACATTTGTTTTTTTGAGCACCCAAATGTTGCTAGTGGACTCTGCTCTCCCAGTGTTTATTACCTAGTTAGAATAACAACCCATTACATCTAGTGAGTGTTTTCTGTGCTAAGCACCATGCACTTTACACCCTTATCTCCCTTATTACAAAATCCTATGGGAAATCCGTGTTATGATTATCTCCTTTATTTTATTTTGTTATCTCTTTGAAGTTCTGGAGCTCAAACCCAGAGCCCCATACATGCTAAGCACATAGGCACAGAGAGGTGAAGCAACTCACACACAGTCACACAACTTGCAGGTGGTAGAGCTGTACCTCCGGCTCTGTTATGTTCAGGCAGGGCTGGAGCAGGGCTGTTGTTACTGCCTGCCGGCTGGCTGGCCCAAAAACTGTGGAACTTCAAGTCATCTGGATTCAAGCTAGGTTTGGAATGAGGCAGCTGTATCTGTAGTCCTTGCTCCAGTCTTTGTCACTTACACCTTGGCCACCAAATCTCCTTCAACCTCTCCATCTCCACCACCTCCACCTTAAGACTGGGTGTGAAGACGCACCAGTGGCTCAAATCTGTAATCCTAGCTACTCAGGAGGTAGCAATCAGGAGAACTGAGGCCAGCCCAAGCAAATAGTTTGTGAAACCCTATCTTGAAAATACCCAGCACAAAACAGGGCTGGTGGAGTGGCTCAAGTGGTAGAGTGCCTGTCTAGTAAGCATTGAGGCCCTGAGTTCAAACCCCAGTACTGCCAAAAAAAAAAAAAAAGAGAGAGAGAGACTGTGTTCGAAGAACAAAAGTTATCCCATCCAGTACTGACTAAGCAAAATAAGGGAACCCATGGAAAAGAAACTGGGTTTCTCATGAAGTGAGTTTGCAAGAAACCTATCCTACCTTGAAATTATACTTCATAATGACAACATTAGAAGATGCTTTTTTTTTTTCAGTACTGGGGCTTGAACTCAGGGCACCTGAACCTTGAACCACTCTACCAGTTCTTTTTGTGAAGGGTTTTTTCGAGATGGGTTCTTGAGAACTAGTTGCCCAGATGGGCTTTGAACTGTGATCCTCCTGATCTCTGCCTTCTGAGTAGCTAGGATTATGGGCGTGAGCCACTGGCTCCCAGCAGGAGCTGCTCCTTGAATGCACATGGTGGTTTGGGGTAGACACCAGTTTTCAAGGGAGGACAGGCTGCCCATCTGTGA